CGCCAATGGATGACCATTGATCATGATAGCCAGGCTTAGCTAAATGCATCCCCCTTTGGGAGCTGTCCTTATCGAAAGAAAACATCTTGCATGAATGGTTTCTCTGTGGCTGCACCACAGAGATGAACAGAGAAATGGGGCCTCATTTGGGAAGCTCAGAAACACTTAATTCTGCATTATTATTAAGCCTCACCGCTACACTATATTGATCCTCTGGTTGTATTTGTATTTGTAAATTCTTCATACATTTAATAAAAATTATTTAAAAAAAAAAACAGGGACCAGTTTAGTAGTGCCTGTTCCAGGGTTGTGCATGCGTGGATCGATTTATAAGAAGATACCATTAAGAGGGGGTAGTATTTTTTAAAAAATATTTATGTACATAACAGGACTAATGACATTTTATTTTTGTTAATAATATGTTAATTGTTTAATTGTGTACTCAGTGGAGAAAGGTGTATATCAGAATTCTGATTATTATTTTGTAGAATTCCTTTTTGCTTTGTAGTGGAATGTTCTAGGGGGAGGAGTTTGACCTACAAATGGAACTCCTCATGATAACTGAAGAGAGATAGGAGGAGGTTGGTAGCAGTGTATAGTAGGAGCTGCCTACAACTATCATTTTTAAAAATCAATTAATGTACATATCTTTGTACTATAATTTTGTGCTTTTCCCCCTTGGTTAGTTTATGTTTTTCACTTTGTTTTTTGGATGTGGACTTTGGAAACAATAAACACCTCTGCACTTCTTTGCAATTGTGGCTGTGCCATCATTATTGCTGCATTCCATCTGCGCCTCTAAACTTTTGAAGGACAAGACTGTGACAACCATACTCTAATTATCCTTAGCAGCAAAGATATATGCTTTCATAAGTGAAAGTTCTGCCCCTGCAACACTCTTTGCTAAATTCACTACATCCTCTTTAATGTCTAGCTAGCCTCTATATTAAAGTCAAAGTCTCTAGATGCTGATAAAGGGACTGTCACGATTGTAGTCCCTCCTCCTTAAGGGCGCTGCGGCTCTTCCTTGTTTGCCTCATTCCCCGCACCTGTCCCCTGTCTCCAGTCCACCTTAAAAGCCAGGCTCTGACGTTAATCCGGGCTCTGCATCTGATCTCCGGATCGTGTGAGTCCGGGACCTGGAAGTGCCTAGTCCCGTTAAGGTTTTATTCTCCGTTCCCGTTCCCGTTCCGCCAGTTCCGACGCGGTTCTAGTTTTTATCTTGTCTGTTTTTGGATGGACCCCCCGGCGTTGGACTTTGCTCATGTTTGGATTCCCCCTTTGGGACACCAGCGCACCAAGGACACGACCCCCCGTTTTGATCCCCGTTTCCTGCATGGCTTTTTCCCCAGTGTTTCCTCACTATTCCGGATTGTGTCGTCCGCATAGGGTCTGGAAAGAACTGTTCGTTACAGGGACCTTCAAGCAGAAGACTGATGAGGAAAGCTGTACAGTGACCTGCAGCCTGAGCCCATGTCCGTGTATTGCTGATGACTTCTTGGAATCTCTGCTGGAGAGTCAGACAGGACCAGCCCATATTCCGTGACCTTGCTTTTTAAAAAGAGTTGATGAATATGGTCCCAGGGGAGAAGGTGAAGAGACAACAGCACCAGTGACTTCCTTTGATGACATCTTCACCAGTAATCTGCCTGGTGCACAGACCAATTTGAGTCAGCTGCTTGAGCCAACTAGTACTGTCAAAGCAACACTTATCTTCCCCATTCCTCCTGCAATTTAAAATCAGCAGAAAACACGTCTGCCTCAGATGATAGATGGGAAAAGAACCCTGCAGCAGGCAGTAGATCTATAGCACTTTCTCCATTGTTTTCACATTTGGAGACACCATCTTCTTTAGCTAAAGACAAATGGCACTCAACTACTTAAGATGAATTTGTCCTCTGCTATATTTGTGCTCTCTGCACATATAATCCATTGCACCCTGTAAGCCTGTGGTGAAAACTGTGGAATAAATTGACTTGTACTCTAGCTATCTAATATGTGAGTTCAAAAAACTGTCTGTCAAAGCACCATGCTAAATGTTGTGTCCAACTTAATTACAAAAACTCAAACTTTTCAACTCTGTACACACAAAATAAATAGAAGGTGGCTCAGTAGACCTTTATTAGTGCATTAACATTTGTGGTATATTTTGAGCAGCAATTGTATTCACCTTTTATTCACATTAACTCAAATTGGAGGTTCAGTAAGGGTGGCACTATTAAGCACGTAATTAACACAGGTTGTTAAAATGTAAAGAAATCCATCCCAGTAATGTTTGCTGCTAATGTACTGTAATATACTCTTGGCATTTTTTTAAACAGTAATGTTAAATCTATTGCTTAAGCATATTATGAAACAATTACCCACCCATTATAAACGTGATAAAATACATGTAAAAGTAAAACAGAAAAATGCACTATATTTCAGGAATGTCTATTGAAATTGAAAGAATTTTAGTTTTTTTTGCTTTATAATCGATGAGATTTATTTTCTTACCGACAGAATGGGTTTTGCAAAACCCAATTTATGAAATTCTTCAAGAGCTTTTTACTGATGTTGACATTCTGGTTTTCAACCCTGTTTCATTTCCCTGTTATTGCAGCAAACCCTGAAAATCCAATTCTTGCAAGACTCTGAGTATAACTCAGAGCAAAAGTTCCTTCATTGCATGATCTGTTCCAGAAATGACAGGGTTGGAGATTCATCATTTTTGGTTTTCTTTCCTTTCCTCAGCAAAGCTGTTAGCACAGTGACACATCCATTGAGCCTGGTTTGTGCTAATGTTTGCCCAAAATGGATAAAACCTTTTAGCTCCTATACTAGCAGAAAGGCTGTTCTGAGTATTTCTAAGGGATCATCAAGATTTGGACAATGCATGTACTGCAATAGTTTTGGGGAGTCTGGATTTTCTTCCTTGAACTCTTAAATTTTCAACAGCATCAGTTTCAGCTTTACAGCACTGAAACGTGAAGTTGGGCTGAAATCTATAAATTGGGATAGCCTTGATTAGCTGACACTTTAATTATATACACTTCTCATGTGAGATGTCCTTCCCAGGAGTGATACTGATCATCAACAGTAAATAAGGCTCAGCCTTTACTTATTCAAGTCTTGAGGTAGTGTGGCACTTTCTGATGCATTTCATGATAACCGATGACATTGCAGTATGTTAATATATGACAGGATTATGTAATATTTCATTACATGAAAACTGTTAATTTTGCATTTCTAAATAACATCACATACCTACATTTCTATGGTCGTGTCTGATCTGAGCATTATGTGAAGCAATCTGCTCCTAGTATCACTTTCTTTACAGTTCTTTTATTTTTTTTTTGCAAAATAAGATTATATGCAGTTTGCTTATATCAAAGAGAAGCCTTATTAAAGCATGATTCGTTTTTAAGAAAAAAAAGTGTAAACTTCTTCTTTGCTTCTTGAAAGATTTATTAGAGTTTTATTAGAAATTAATACTTCAAGTTGCTTGGAGTGCATTGAAGCCTGGTATTTGATGGACAATGTCCAAATTATTCTGTACAATTAAAAAGTAAACAATTATAAAGCTCTTCTTGAAAAATATAACAAGCATATTATGAAGATCGAAGATTTTTTAAATTACCGGTAAGGTTATCATCCGCTTAGAAAATTTCTGATTCTTACTCAGGGAACTTTTTTCTCAAGATAGCAATTTTGGGGGGAAATACGATGTTGAAATCACAGGCATTGTCAGGCATAAATAAGGAAGGAGAATCCGTTGTCCCTTATCTCCAACAACAGAGGAAGCCAGACTCAGCACCATGCTCCGAAAGGTAGGTCTTTTGAATTTGTCAGTTAAATTTTGTCAGTCAATGCTGTCGTTCATCTATACAGTATATATATATATAAAAACTGCGTATAAAAGTGCTTTATTATTTTATCATTGTTAACTAATCTGAACGTATTGTTCGTATTGTACCTGGCTAAGCAGGGTTATATGACATCTAGCTCAAATCATTCTAAGTGTAAAACAAATCTTTTTATTTCAGGTTATTTCAGTCTGAACTATAGTATGCTATACTGAACTTATCATTTTATAGTTTTCCTGTAATTTGTGGCACAAACCAAGAGAAAATATTTTATTGTGGTAACATTTGAGTCTTTTGTTTGTCTAAATATAGTGTTATTATAGTGATAATATTGTTTTAATTTGCGTACTAATTTGAAGTACTGCGCTTAGCATATCTTGTAAATTGCACTGGTTCCCCGTGAACTTTTGCGTAATTTATTTTAGATTCCCTTCCTCATAAATAAGGCACTGAAAGGTCTAAAACTCTATATTATTTTAAGTTCTTAGTAAATGAGTATAGTCTGGTTTGATTACAGATATAATCTGAGATCTTCTGATTCTGATCCAGAGATCAGAGTCAACACAAAGGGCGACAATTGGGTCCTTCTATTCAGCACCACATCTTCAAATCGGTTAGATTCCGCTATTACCGACATTTTAAAATCTCATAGGAGGCATGTCTGTTCATTTGTGATTCTTATTATTTTTAATGTAACTTTTTCTTTTTTTACTTCTGTGGTGTTTATTGTGTGTGCACTATGCGCTCCAGTTTCTTGAAGACCGCTTGCGAATAAAAACGTCATTATAATTCAATGAGCCTGTATTAGCTGTGACCCTCCTCAGAAAAAGTGGATGAAAATACATGTAATAGTGAAATAAATTCCAGAATTTTAAAAACTATTTTAAGGAAGATTTTCAACGTTAAGCATATGGCAATGTAAAAATGTCTTAGAAATTTTACGTTGTGTCCAGGGCGTCACCGAAAGTTTTGGGGCGGCTATCTCCAGCCTCAATGCTGCACATTTGACTGAGACAGTAGTTCGGAGAAGCAAGAGGATGATTCTGGATACACTGGGAGTGGGTCTCTTGGGCACCACCTCTGGTGTCTTCGGCAAAGTCTTACAGTACAGCAAAGTAAGAATCCCTGTTCCCAAAGCCGTTGTTGTCGCATCTCTGTAAACTTTGAGACTTGATTTGCTGTGTTAATCCGGGAGTAGAGAAATTGTGATCATAGTTTTGGATTCATTAGCATACAGTAGCCTTCAGAAAGCACTTCGCTCAGACTGCTTTAGTACGGGTAGAAAGGTACATCGCTTTGTATACATAGTAATTGCAATAGCTTTTATACCTTTTAATGTGTTTAATAATTTTTTTATACATTTTCTGGGTATGCAAACATTATCATTCCAGGTCCTGTCTTCACAAAACATAGATCTATTTTTTTTATTTGTCTCATATGTGTATTCAAACTAGTAGGCACATACTGTAGGGCAAATTCTACAAGCATTTTCAGCCTATTTGCAGGGCCACAACTTGAGAAATTAATCTTTGATGAAAGGACAAAGAATTCCATTTCTTTTTTTATTTGTTTGTTTCCTGGACATTTCTGTCTGGAGAGTGGACACAGAAATCTGATTGTTGACGCTTAATGCCCAAAAGGTTAGCTTTAATTAAGCCATGAACCAGGCTTCTACTGTATGAAAATCCAGAGATATTACAAATCAGGCAGAAATTGACTCTTTTTCTAGAGGTGATAAAGTGATCATTTAAGGTGGAACCATTGTCCACCTTAAATTATCCAAAGCGTTGGCATTGTCCTTTGGTTGTTCATATACAGTAAGAATATTTACAAATGAGAGGAGACCATTCCACCCATTGAGTCCTCTTAACAGTTGATAGCTAATTAAAGTAGGCCAGTAAGCCAGGCTTTAACAACTTGGCATGTTCCAGATTCCCTCAACCCCACAATTAATATACTCGTGAAGGAGGACCTGGCATCCTTTGGGTTTTTATTAAGTCAAACAAACCTGTTTTACTTCTTTCTTTGACTTGCTGACATGTATTTTTCACCAGTCTTCTAAAACAGTGATGAACAACCACAGGCCTCAAGTGCAACAGTCATTTCTGCTTTTCTTTACAGATCCGGACTATGCTATTTAACAAACTCCAGAAATTTACCAATATTTCACAATGTGAATATGTCAGTGGTTTAAAGAGACCTACAAAAACATTCAAGATTGTAGTATTCTTTCAGCAGAATTGCCCTAGATTGCTGTGCAATCAGTAAACATAGTAATGAAGACATTTATGTGGATACATCAATCGTAAGTTAATTTGAAAGCATTCCAAGGATGATTTAAGACGTGTCAGAATTTGAGATAAGTTGTGTAATTTACTTTGTGTTTCTCTATGTTTACAGATGTATAATGCATCAAACACCAGTACGGTCTGGGGAAAACCTGATATCTCTCTCCCACCTCAATATGCAGCCTTTGTCAATGGAGTTGCGGTAAATCATTATTAATGTTTCAATATTCATATCTGAAGCAAAAGTGCCAAAGACTTAAAAAAACATCAGTGTTCTGTTAATTTATTAATCTAGGCCAGCCTGAGGCCAGAACTATCTGTATAGAAAAAACACATTAAAAATGATGTTTAATGTTTGTTACTATCGTTAATATATAGCAAATGAATACAACTAATGAAGTGGACTAACTAAGAAATATTCATATTTGATGTCACCATTGTTTAGCTGAAGAAATGCAATATATGCGGCATCATTAAACATTTTATATTATTGTAAAATAATAGTGTGGCACAGTGATTAGCACTGCCGCCTCGCAGGACTGGTGCCCTGGGTTTGACTCCTGGGGTCCTATCTGGGTGGAGTTTGTATGTTTTCCCCTGGCATGTGTGGCTTTCGTCCACGTGCTTGTTTTTCCTCCCACAGTCCAAAGACATACTGGTGGGTTAATTAGCTTCTGGGAAATTGTGCCTGGTCTGAGTTTGTGTCTGTTTGTGTCTGTGTGTGCCCTGTGATGGGCTGGTGTACCCTGCCATGTGTTCCTTGCTTGCCAGGATAGGCTCCAGCTACTCTGCAATCCTGTATTGGATAAAGCAGTTAGAAGACAGATAGATGTAAAATACTATACATGAACAGTATAAATATTTCACTTTAAAACCGATGATGTATATTCGTATTCTGCAAAGATACCGGAGGATTATGTTAGCAACGTATTAGGCCAGTTACCTGGATCTGTGACTTGTTACTGTGTGAAACATTTTCTCTCTCCTGTACTCGTTCCATCCATTAAGGACTTAGGATAAGAAAAAAAAACACCACATCAGAGAAATTATGCTCCTCCATCTTGCGTGAAAATACTAGTAATATCAGTACTTTTAATAAACAGGCACAGGCACATATTCCCTGCTCAATCGGAGTCTTCACAGCTGGGATTGGGCTCTGTTTTCTAGGTTCACTCCATGGATTTTGATGACACCTGGCATCCAGCCACACACCCTTCGGGCGCTGTCCTTCCCGCCCTGCTCGCCTTGGCAGAGTCCATGCACACAAGGCCCTCTGGTCTAGAGCTGCTCTTAGCTTTTAACGTGGGCATCGAAGTGCAAGGAAGATTAATGAGATTCTCCAAGGAAGCACACAACATCCCCAAAAGGTTATTTTCTCCTGATTGCTAGTGGTTTTCTAGAATATGACATTTCGTTTGCTCTCTATCATGTAGAAAATGAGTGATTCCTATTTTCCTATAGTTTTAAAACTTAAAAAAAAGGACTAGCTTTTGTGTAATGAAATAGATCTGTCGTGCGCTCTTTTGTTCACTTATTGCTACCAGGATACCGGGAAACCAGGCCGGATTTGTAAATATCCTACTCTAAATGTTTAAATTTCCATGAGATGTCATAGAGAGGCTCTTTTTATTGAGACTGTTGATGAGAGCATCATGGCTTTTGAGACAGGATTTGTAATTTGAGATTCTACTGCTAATTACATTCAGCAGTTCAGCAAAGAAGCTAAAAACAGTTGATAGTACCATGTGGTACCAAGGTGAAGATTTGTTCAGTGAAAACAACAGACCACAAGTGAATGATTGAGAATACCATAGTTCGCTGTTTTATAAGTAATCTAGATTACTTATGTGATGTACTTAAAGGATGCACCCAAAAAACCTGTGTGAGGCGCTCATAGTAAAATGTGTTTTGTTTTAGGTTTCACCCTCCTGCAGTGGTGGGCGTTATGGGAAGCGCCGCGGCAACAGCGAAGCTTCTGGGCCTGGAACGTACCCAGTGTCGAGAGGCACTAGCTATCGCCGCGTCCTACGCGGGAGCCCCCCTGGCGAATGCTGCGACCCAGACCAAGCCCCTTCACATAGGCAACGCCACACGGAGGGGTCTGGAAGCGTCGTACTTAGCCCTGCTGGGGCTGGAAGGCAACAAGCAGGTTCTGGATATCGAGTCGGGCTTTGGGGCCTTCTACACAGACTACTCTCCGGACCCGCTGCCTCCCACCAGCTCCTACAGGTGGGTCCTGGAAGACCAGGACGTGGCCTTCAAGCGTTTCCCAGCTCACCTGGGAATGCACTGGATGGCGGACGCCGCGGCAGCAGTGAGGGGCAGGCTGCTGACGCGAAACGTCGACTTCCAACAGATTGAAAAGATAGTGCTGAGAGTGCCCAATTCCAGATACATCAACTGCCCTTTCCCCGCCTCCGAGCACGAAGCCAGACACTCCTTCCAATTCAACGCCTGCTCAGCCCTGCTGGACGGAAGGGTTTCTGTGGAATCCTTCAGCCGCTGTGAAAGGGACAGGGCAGAGCTAAAAGACCTTCTTGCAAAAGTGCAGGTGGAAAGCCCAGCAGACAACCAGCCCAACTTTGATACTATGTACTGCGACATCAGTGTGGAGTTGCAGAATGGACAGTCTTTCACAGAGCGCTGCAACAGATTTTATGGTCACTGGAAGAAGCCTCTAAGCCAAGAAGACCTCCTTAAAAAGTTCAAAGCCAATGCAACAACAGTGCTGCCACTGGAATCTGTGGAGGGTATTATTGAAGCAGTAGATAACCTTGAGAACATCAGAGACTGCTCAGTGCTCAGCACATTCCTGCAAGTGAATGAGAAAACATTATTCCTGAACACAACCTCATGTTAAACTCCAGCCTCTGACCTACTGGTATTTCCCAAGTTACAAACCACAGCCTATGACGTGTTCTGACATTCTTCATTGCAAAGTGATTTTCCATTTGTGGCAATCTTGTTCATGTGCTAAACTTTCCACCCTAGTAGGAGTTCGCAACCTTACTTTTAAGCACCTTAAATTCCTCACACTTTTCTCTTAGTCACCCAGGCAATGAGCTTTGGAAGCTGAAATACAAAATCATTGTAAATATTTCACAGTTATCCATAGCTGAAGAAGTGTATATTTAACTTTTGTATTCAGCAATTTGGTTTTCTTTTGTAATGCTTTAGTTTTTGCATAGCTTTATGTGAATGCCAGGAATTCTCTGATGGAAGTAACTTAACTTTTGGCCTGTAAAGGTAAAGAACATATTAACTTTTACAAATATATTTTTTGCTGCCAAATCTTCCCTTTTATACATCCCTCAAACTGCCAAATTTAAAAAACAGAATTACGTTGGGTTAAATTTAGTTATTAAACAGGGAGATAATCAATTATCTATTCCATAAAACCAATGTCTGAAACGTGCATAACTTGCATCAGGTATAGACTTACCAAGTGATACTGTAAGTGATAAGAGGAAGGTCCCAACTCAGAAAAGGCCACTCACTTCCCCCTAGTCTTTTAATAAAGATTAGTTCTTCAAACACCAACGATCCATTTTATTCTTTAAGGAAATCTGGGTTTCAGCTTCAGCGTGCCTTGTCTGCTCAATCACAATCCAGAATAAGCTTGACACATAAATGCTTTCTTTAAAACATTAAAGAAAGAACATGCAGCACTGAGCATTTTATGTTCAATTTGTGCTGATCATAATCTATTTCCTCTAAAATAAGACTAATGTGCCCAAGCCTACTGTTCATTTCATTGTAATGAAAGTGCTTAAATGCTACATAAATCTAATGTTCCTTAAGTACTTTGACACCTACTTACAACCATCACAGGTACCGCTTAAATTGTTTCTGGAGTCAGTCATCATGATCAAAAAAAATCTCTCTTCACATTTGTACGCAATGGCAGCAAAAATCAATTGTTCACATTCGGTGAAATCAATAGCTTTAACTGGAATAAACAAGTGCTTAATGCATTTGAAGCAACCAGCATTTGTCATACCCATCCACAGTGCACTGCAACCGAGAGAAAACCATGCCTGAGTGGCCCAAATGTCAATTCGCCTATACTCTGGCTATGGAAGCACAGCAGGGAAACCAGGTTTGGTGATCAATGCTGCCCTGGACATGGGTTCATCGCACTGGGAGGCCAGGAAGTTCCTTGTTTTCTGCAGAGTAATAACCAGAGCACACGCATCTCTGCTTCGATAATCAATCCTAGGCCAGCAGGCAACCTCGACTGTCCATTATGCCCCTCGCAGTGCTCAGTAAGCCAATTGCTGACATGCAGTGAAACCTACAGTGAGGCCAGATACCAAGTATTGCAAAATGAAACCGATCATGTGTTTCATCATGATATAGCCTTCCCCTCCAAGTCCCGTAGAGGCAAGAAAATGGAAAATAGTTGATGGTACAAAATAGAATGCTGACTGCACACAGTTTTTCGTTAAGGGAAAAGGGCAACAGATAGAGCTGGATTTGTAAGTGGAGGCAGTTTAAAGAAAAGACTAATTATCTATAGTGACCACAAGTGATTAATGATCAAGCCCCACATCTGGTTTTAAATTACACTTTGACTATGCAGTATGTAGTGTAGGTATTGGGACAAAAGACACTGGATATCAAGCTGACTATCAGATACGCCAGCAGCCATATCACCCTGCAACTCACAACTGGCAACCCCACTGAAGCTAAGCAGGTGTGGGCCTGGTCAGTACCTGGATGGGAGACCTTCTGGGAAAAACTAAGGTTGCTGCTGGAAGAGGTGTTGGGCCAGCAGGGGGTGCTCACCCTGGGGTCCATGTGGGTCCTAATGCCCCAGTATAGTGAGGGGGATACTATACTGTAAACAGGCGCCGTCCTTCAGATGAGATGTAAAAACGAAGTCCTGACTGTGGTCATTAATCCCAGGACGTGTCTCGAAAAGAGTAGGGGTGTAACTCCGGCATCCTGGCCAAATTTCCCATTGGCCCTTACCAATCATGGCCTCCTAATAATCCCCATCTATGAATTGGCTACATTACTCTGCTCTCCTCCCCACTGATCGCTGATGTGTGGTGAGCGTTCTGGCGCACTAGGGCTGCCGTTTCATCATCCAGGTGGATGGTGCACATTGATGGTGGTGGAGGGGAGTCCCCATTATCTGTAAAGTGCTTTGAGTTGAGTATCCAGAAAAGCGCTATATAAGTGTAAGCAGTTAATTATATATTCAGTGTACAATGAGGTGTCCAATGCACAGAGTGCTGCTTGAGAAGCATTTAAAAACCATAAAGACGAGAAGTTGCTTTTAGTTTTATTAGATGCTTTTCAATTCCAGTGGGCAAGACAGATCATGTCTGTGTACTTTCCAAAGGCTTCATTCCAACGGCTCCAGAAAACTTTAAGCGAGTTTCAACACTTCCTGTACCATTGCACCAACACCATCAAAGATCTCATGGAGAGGCGCCTTGCACATGAACGCGCAGGTCGTGACGATCTTATTCTTCTCGTCCACGTGAGCTTCTGTCACCTCCTTGCAGATGTGTTTGCAGCCCAGTTTCTCTATCGCACCAGCCGTCTCTGCATCGGGAAACCTGTAAGCAGAAGGAAAACCAGCAGTGAGGCAATGGAAGGGTAGACGAGAGCAGTCAAACTAGACTTACTGGACAATGACAAATAGCCAAAACCTACTGCCCAGGGGAAAAGGGTCACATTAGGTCAATAAAGTAGGGAAACAAGCATTTTTGGGGGAAGGTTATTTCACTCCACTTAAAGTATAGTATTCATCTAACCATGGAAATGAAAAGTTCATTTACTTCTAACCTAAAGCCCATCCTAACATTAAATCTAACCCCAACAGCATTAAACCCTGCCTTAAAGTTAAACAACCTCAATGCTTATCCTTAGAAGCAGTTTAGTTGACTTATAATAGGTTTTAAGGCTCAAGTTAAATACAGTCTTCCTCATTTCTTTTCCTGTATTGCTTAGTTGCAGCAGTTGGTTTGCACATTTTAAATGTCTGTCACAATCTGCATTTACAAAAAAAAAAGCAGCAAACAGCTTACAGAAATAATACCCCTGGGAAAATGCAAGAGAGGCTTTCTCCTTTTCAAGTTGACTATGGTCATAAGTACAGTAAGGACTGTACCTTAACCATCTTCTGCATAATATTACTTCTTAAGTCTCACTTTTGAGTTTTTATTCAGTCTTTCACAGTTAAACACTTGCAATAACAGTACTACAGTACCTGTTGACCTTCACAAGTAAAAGAAAAGGCAGATTTTAAAATAAAGATGGAGTACATAGAGGAATTGCCAATTTGACAGTGGGTTACATTTGAGAGTGCATCACAGACTGTGTATGCCTCCTAGTGGTAGCATGGCAGTACTGAACAAACCATTTTCATTAAAGGCATTTCAATGTTAAAATTCAATTACAATTGATCAGTAAACTTCTGTAGAAGAATAAAGGCAAGTGTTTACTTCACTAGTTAGATCTAGGTTACCAAAGTACCATTTTTATTCACATGGAAGGAGAAACAGGGTAAACGTATAGAGTAACTGTCCCATAAATAATAAATCAGCAATTAAAGAGGTAAACAATACTTTGAGATATTAAGCACTAAGAGTAGAATTCATTCTAAAAGCACTATAATGAAAGGAAGTAAATTAAGAAAGGAACTGGTGTCACAAAGTAGTTACCTGCCATCATCATTGTTATCACATCCCACAGTCACTTCACAGCCAGAGATGACTTTAGCAGCCAATACAGGAGAAATGCAGCACAGGCCAATAGGCTTCTTGGCACTGTGGAAAGCCTGCAAAGCAGACTCCACTTCATTATGGACACTGCAGTCCTTTCCTTTCACTGCCCAGTCACAAAGGTTTTTGGCAACACCAAACCCACCTAAAACCATAATAAAACAAGTTCACTTGTAAATGCAACAAACATCAAAGTCACAAAACATGAGGTATTAGGCCAACATGTATAGCTTGGAATTTTACTGAAGAACAGAGTAAAGCACATTGCTCAAAGGTACACAAGCAGTATACCCCGAGACTTTAATTGACAATTCGCACTTCAGAATCCAGAGTACTAATCAGTACCGGGTACTACCTACAGTACAGCACTCCTCTCACTTGACTAACATGCCTGAAACAGCCAAACAAAACAAAAAACACCTCATGTTCGCATCCGCTATAGTTTTGGCTGAGGACTAGAAAGAAAATGGCAAAATCTTGTTAAGAGGAAATAGTTTTACTCGCCCAATATATCCAAGTCTCCCAATAAAAAAAAACAGATATTTAATGATTAAAAGCGTTCTAGTCATTAGGGAGAAAGAAAGGGCGTTTTAACGTTGCTTGCTTAGCCAATAATATTTAGATGAACAAAACCGCTGGTCAGTCAAATACACTTTTCATTCCGCACAATAGGGGGATTTCCGCAATTAAATAACGTAGTTACTTGGCTAATTAAGGTTAGATTGATAGAAAATAGGTGGCAACGAAGCCCCATCACTCTTAGACCGGAAAGTATAAAAAATGTGACCTGGAAATATAACGGCGTCGAGTTCGTCAACTTTGAGCTGCGCTAAATCCTGAATATCGCCCCTTGCCAGCCGGGCGCTTTCCACCAGCACATTCCTCTTCTCCTCCGTCGGGTCACCCTTCAGATGGTCAACTACGTGCATCTGGTCGACGTTAGGAGCAAACATTTTCACCTGCAAAACAAGACTTGTTAAATCATCGTTGTTACTTCTTTCCGACCAATTCCATAGTTTAAGGCGAAAAGGGAACTGAAAGGATTTGGACCTTTTAACGCAATCAACTTCTTTGCTAAGAATAAAGGTTTACTCACGAAATTCACATTCCCCAATTTAAGAAGAACGGCTTCTTAATTGACGTTTTTAAAAGTAGGAACTTCAGCGGGGATGTGCGGAGTTATTTAGCGAACAACTGCTCAGTAATATTCTGGATGTAAGGCATTTCGTTTTCGTGGGAGTATTTATATTAACAACACGGACTCGGGCACGACCATTTCAAACAACACAGACACACAAGCTAACAATTTTTGCTGATCTAGTTCAAGCAGGTAGCTGCGTCAGCATGCATAGGCTGCAAAGGAGCAAGTAAAGGTTTATTCCATGCTGCAAAGAGAAGAAAAACACGTTACGGCTGTGGAGACTTCTGCGGGGCATTTAAAAACAAATTGCAGGTCGTCGCAATTAAAATATCTCAAAAACTAAAATCACTTACAGTTGCACCGCCTCTACTCAGGTGAACCAACACCGCAGAAGCCTCATGGATCTCACTTCCATCAAAAACTCCGCAACCAGCCAGAACTACAGCCACTCGCTTGCCCATCTTCAATAACTTCAACAATCCTCCACTACTGCAGACCACTTGAACTTGACTGTGGCTCTTATGGGAGAAGGATGGGGGGCGTGGTGCTGAGCGAACGCTCGTTCAACCCTTCCATTATTCTACAGCGACCTCTCCTGCCCTGGATGTGTCACAGCAGCTCTGAATAAAGGCGGCTTTCCCCCTTCAAAGTGAAGCCTCTTTCATACCCGTGTGACCTGTAATTTAACGCTTATTTCTGCAAAAGAACATGAAGACGTGTAATTTTTCTTAATAAAAATATACTGGCATATGTTCAGGACGTCTTATCATCGTACTGTTAAACACTTTAACTTGTCATGATCCCCAAATAGTTTAAGTTGATTCGGTCGTTTATAAGAAAACTGCGCTCTACAGGGCAATTTTTAAATGCTCAATGACTGATCAATGTAAACCATCATTCTGTTTGATAAAATTTGCGTCTATCATACTGGAGGAGAAACGCACTCGCTCTTGCTGAAAAGGACTCGGATAACTGAGCGTTTGCTTAGTATTAAATTCATTTAAAAGCATTACATCAGAATCGGACTTTAAGTATTGTTTATGAACTGTCTCTAGCACCATCAGTTCCTATTTAGCACAACTGAATCACTTCGCCCTTGAAACAAGTAACTTATAAATCTATCAGTCACACTGGTAGGATGCTCTTATGATTGTTTTTTTTTATTATTTCATTCGTTCTAACGGTTGTTTTTTTATTTATTTCAATTGTAGTACGAGAGAAACGAGGACAAGTTCAAAGTTATCATAAAGTTGTCTCAGGGTCTTCAGCACGTGAAATAAATGTAGTCAATTTGTGTGGCTCCTTTCGTGAGTTTTTCAAATCAGTGCTGTGCGAACAATTATCTTTTAAAAGGAAATCATCTTTATTGCATCAATGTACGGTACAGAGTTCATACAATAAATACAATTCTAATATTTATAAGGTTTAATATTTTAAGGTAATATTTCAACATACGTAAAAACGTTTCGAAAAGGTTTGATCGTCCATTCTCTATCATTACATTTTGCAAGTGGTTGTGCAATACGAGCAGGTTTGTCCTCCTCGTGTACAGGACACACCGTCCTTTTCAGCGCTCTTTCGCTACGCCGCCAATAATTGCCACTATAACAGACTTAATAGTAAGATAAAATGTTAAACTGTGACTTCGGACAAAGAATGAATGCGCCTATTCGTAATAGTACGCTCATGGATACGTTACCATGTGTTTATTTTCTGGAGATATTTGAGTTAACAAAATTAGGAGACCATAATCAAGCACTCTGCTTTTCATAAGCACTCGCCACGCAGATTTTACTGTCCTTGTGTATCTTTTTAGCAGGAGTAGAAAAATGCAGTCAATTACAATAACTCTGCCCCTATTCTACAGACAAGGAAGACAGTTGTGGTCACATGAACAGTAACAATCATGTGACCATAAAAAACAGGAACTGAGGGGATGCAAAGTAACTGACAGTTTTCTTTCCTAACCAGTCTTGTGTGATAGTTAGAGATGGTAAATGTGGGGATTGTAATATTTGGGACGTTTTTTATGACTGGCTTGGGTCTGCAGGAGTTCGATTTCAGGACCGATTATGGACGAAACCGCCAGGAATGGCCCGTCCCTTACAGGTGAGGAATTCGTACTGAGCGATTTATTGCAAAGTTGACTGCGTTGACACATTTTTCTCAAAAATATGATCAAGACAAAAACAATATCTGGTTTAAGCGGCACTTAGGGTAATACCAGAAATGATGCACATTTGTTAGAATCGTTTGGAAAATGTAGCAAACCATTGCAGTCGTAGGCTGAACTGGCTGCGACGCCAACTTCCTAAATTTAGAGGGCGGGGATCACTTCAGTCACAAGATTTAAGTACAAGAAGTACAGCATACCGGTCAACATAAATCAGATCAAATCAAATCAAAGATTATTTATCAAATGCACAACAATACAGCGTGCAGCAGTAGTTGCTGGCAATGAACTGTCTTTTCCGCGAACTCACACAACAATCACAAGAATCACAGACATCCTAAATCCAGCAGAACGACTTTTTTCTGAAGAACTGATCATCAGTAAGACTAAGGGGATGATTGTGGAATATAATATAATTGGATTGCGTAAATAAATAATGTATCTTTATTATTTGGGCTACAAAATATGATTTTTTTGGTAAAAAAAATCGACCTTACCTTTAATGCGATTGAAGAAAAGGAAAGGAGCGTTTGTTGGAAGGCTCACCAGCTGTGAAATCCAGAAACATTTTAACATGCACTTACTCAGTAAATTACTGTAAACGCCTGACACATGAAGCTTGTGCTTCTCTGCCCTCGCTGCTAAGATACCGGGGCTCCGTTTGAACAGCTTTTTACAGTATATATACGGGGTATGAAAACGAGAAAGGCATCATTTAGGTAATTCGGGGGTTTAGTGAAGTACCTAAAATCGGTTTATTTAAAATAAGGCGTTAAACACAAAGGATGCATCATTTAAAATTACCAGGCCATTTTCAAACATATTTACACATCATCATTCATTTTATAATTTTATCCCTTACATTAAGACTTCAAATCTCTTATCTTTGAGAATATCAGTAAATAACGGTATTTCGATACTAACACCCATATCAGATTCATACTTAAGAACTAAACAACGCTCAAGTATGAGATGATAGGAAATGTTGGCTGTACTGTATTTTCACGATAGCGACAATATCTAAACATGTTCCTTTTCTTTTGCTTCAGACGCTTTGACCACCGTCCTAAACCGGATCCGTACTGCCGGGCGCTGTATACTTTCTGTCCCACGGGACTGCCCGACGGGACAATTCCCACAATGAAAGATTCAGATACCATCCAGGTCTTCCGACTACAGGCGCCTGTATGGGAGTTTAAATACGGAGATCTACTTGGCAAATTCGTAAGTGTTCCTTATGTAAACAATTCATTAACCTCATCATAGTCATCGGCATCATCTCCAGAGTGTCACGGTGTTTTTACAAAACTGATATATTATCATTAGCACTGCATGTAATTAATTTGTTGTTTATTCAAGGCTTTATGCAAATTGACTTATAAAAATATTTTATTTGCATAACGTGGAATTGCTGTGCTGTTTCACAGGTAACTGTACAGGGTGTAATAGAGAAATCTGTTACATGCAATGTAGTCTTCTTCAAGTTATAGCACAAGTAACAGTTAAATGTTGTTGATGTGTTCCTTGTTCTGTATCTTGAAGTAGACTGTATTGTGTATGTCTGCAGTTCAATATGTATCCCACATTAGTTTTCTCTAGTGTTATAGCACCATGTACAGTAGTTACACGTGAAATTCCAGTATTTCATTACACAAACAGATCATTTATACAGAAATAGAAATCCTTCCCGCCTGCTTAGATAAATGACTGGAAACTTTGAAGAAATTTGAAGAGGTTGCTGCTAAAAATGAGATTAACAGTATTTAGTAGACTTCATTAATGAAAATTATTAAGTGAGTTGTTGATTCTTATGACAGTGCATACTGTACAATACCTATCCAGTAACAGTGCCGGTATGCTTTGCTTGTCTTAGGACATTATGCACGATGCCATTGGATTCAGGAGTACTCTTACAGGGCGGAATTACACCATGGAGTGGTATGAGCTTTTCCAGCTTGGAAACTGTACCTTTCCACACCTGAGGCCAGAGCTGAGCGCCCCCTTCTGGTGCAACCACGGGGCTGCCTGCTTTTATGAAGGAATAGATGACCTGCACTGGAAACAGTACGGCACTTTAGAAAAAGTGGCCGAAATCACAGGTAGGTGTAGTACACACTCATTTAAGTTCTAATTTCACACTTAGGTCTTCTTGCATGGTCAAAGGCAGTTTTTTTTTTAATTTAGACCAGTGCTGTTCAGTTCTATTCCCAGGAGGCTGCATTGTTTGTGTGTTTGTGTCTCACCTCTGCTGTTAAAGACCTAATTGAGCTCATTAATAGCTCATCAGGATGAAATACAACTTTTTAAAAAAGATTTTCAGCTGTTAAAGATTGAAAGTGAGCTAGAACACCTGCTGGTTCCTGGCCCTTGAGGAGTGAAGTTGAACACTTAGGATATTTTTATCACTTGTGGATGTGGATGTGCAATTTTATCACTTGTGGATGTATATAACCACTATTTTAGAGCAATACTGTTTTGGTTGTTTTGTCTTGCAAATCTGAATGCATATAGAAATAAAAATGTGTTTTAAGGTTGTAGAAGTGATATATTTCGATCAGTACTATACTCAACCTGTTAAATGTCTCTGAGAAGTCAATAAAATAATGCAATGTCAAAGCTCCAAAGATGAATTTGTTCTGCCAAAGCTGGGAATGTGTGTATGGAGAACATGCCTAACAACTTAGGCTGTCATTAAGATCGTGTTTCTGTGCTTTTGTGTTTTACATTGTAGGCACTCAGTTCAACAAAATGTCCGAATGGGTGAAGCAGGACAATGAAACTGGTATTTATTATGAGACATGGACAGTGCAAGCAGACCCCAGCCCCAATACGACTGTGTGGTTTGAATCCTACGACTGCTCTAAGTTTGTGCACAGGACCTACAGGAAACTTGCAGATATGGGTGTGACCTTAAAAAGCACTCTCCAGACTAACTACACCAGGATATTCCTCTACAGTGGACAGCCCAGCTTTTTGGGGAATGACACAACCATCTTTGGGGATGGTGGAGTGAAGTCTTTGGCCTCTGACATTAGGAGTTTTTTCCATTCTTTCCAACCTCACCAATCCATCAAAGACTTTCTGCTCAGTCTTCTCGAAGTTTATGACAGGGTTGTGCTGGAAAAGAGCTTCTACTTGTACTATAATTTTGAGTATTGGCACTTGCCAATGAAGCCTCCCTACATCAGAGTTACTTATGAAGAAATCCCTTTGCCGTAGATAGATTCATGCCATGAGAAGATGAACTTTGACTTTGAATTTAACCTTTTGCAGTGTTTTGGTGGTATTTTGATATTGCCATTTTTGTTGAAATAATGCTTGTGTATTATGGTCATTACTCTTCCAGTAACTTAAAATGTACTGCTGTTTCTTTTATTGTAACCACAATTACCATTGGAGCAAGGATTTTTCACCCTGTAGCATCTACCATATACTATTGGTTTCATTCCGAGGGGAGATCAGGCTTTCCAGAGGCTAAATTGTTTTATATATATATATGCTTCAGACTAGGTACATCTGTAAACATCCTTCACAGTTTCTTCTGTATTGGTAATGCACTGTTTGAAATATGACACTATTTCAGATGCAGGCTATTTCAGTATTAAAACATTAAGTGATGTTGAATGGCTGGAAGATCAGAGTGTAAGATAATATCATAGAATACTAAGCAATGCAACATTGAAAGAAAAAGTATCCATGTCTTTTTCCATGGATACTTTTGCTAAATCAGGCTCTGTGGAGAACAGCGGGACATTGATAAAAGCAAAATAACAAAGTATGACTTTGAAATGATTAATAAAACAGATGGATAGTTTCTTATAGAAATACTTTGTAATAGTTCCTTTGTACTGCAATGTTTTATTGTATTTTTTATATTCTTATTTTCTGTGTTAAAATGGGAAATGGACAGGTGAGAGCAAATTATTTCATTACACTTGCAAAGAACAGCAATAATGCTGAATAGAGAAATGTGTTAATAAATTCAGTACTGGCACTATTCATTGTACTTGTTTTGTTATTAAAGATGAAAACAACAAATTATTTAAGTTTATTTATTCAGTGTCCCCAAGGATAGTTCTATTTATGTGAAGTGATTGTTAGGATCACTCCAGAATACTGGAACGAGACTGGGTTACACCTCTACTCTTTTTGAGAAACGCCCTGGGATTTTTAATGACCACAGAGAGTCAGGACCTCAGTTTTATGTCTCATCCGAAGGATGGCGCCTGTTTACAGTATAGTGTCCCTGTCACTATACTGGGGGATTAGGACCCACATGGACCGCAGGGTGAGCGCCCCCTGCTGGCTCCACTAACACCTCTTCCAGCAGCAACCTTAGTTTTTCCCAGGAGGTCTCCCATCCAGCTACTGACCAGGCTCACACCTGCCTAGCTTCAGTGGGGTTGCCAGTTGTAAGTTGCAGAGTGATATGGCCGGTGGCAATATATGCCATACTGACAACATGTGGTGGTCCAAAGCTCTCTCATGTGATTTTACACTGGTGTTTTCAAGTTTTTCTCCACTACCTAGACTGTACATAGGGTGCGTGACATTAAGGATGAAGCACAGAAGTATTTCCATTTTGAAACCCCCGCTGTGACTAAATTTGGAGAATTCCAGAGATGATAAAGTGATAGTTTTTTCCAATGACAAATCAGTTGAATCTCATGAGATCCATGTAATTGTATTTAGAAAGTGCAGATGACCTACCAGATTATGCTAAATCATGTTTTGATATAGTGGCTGCTTGCCCTTTGCATTCTGTTGGTTTGGCAGATGTGTCGTTTTGTGCCCAGTTGCATTTTTAGAAAACATTACTGAGGCCAATTCACCTTTAGCAAAGACCATGGTAGATGGCCTAGATTTTAATATGTACTGTATCTGGGTGTATGTTCTAAAAACGTTAATGCACTAAAAAAAAAAAGATGCTTGAAAATTCACAAAAAATTTATTCCAAAAACCTTTCCACAATAGCCCTTTAATTCAGGGCAAAACATTATTTATTAAAATACATTAAGTCTGTTATACTGATGCCCACCAGATAAAACTAGCTTGTAAAACAGCTAAGCCTGAAAAACAGACCAACTTTATACCAACTAACATTTTTATATGCTTGCACTGTGTAATTTCTAAATTATAAAAAAATAATACTTAATTGTTTAGGGAAACAGAATTATCATAACTGATCTCCAAACTTAGGATTTCATAGGAGACTACTGCTATAGTAAAACACAATCAAAATGTCACCAACTGGAGCTTCAATTATGAAATAAAAAAGATATGCTTTGCAGGTATAAGGTGCATTCCATTATTTTACAATAATATTGAGTGCAAAGGAACAAAATCTAAATAACAGCCCCCTAAAACTGGGATGTTTCCTATATAAAGCTGCAGAAGGTCTAGTTTTTTTTTAGTTTTTAAAATAGTTCCATTGTCTTTTCAGCTCTCCAAGCTGCAGAATCAGAGTGGACTGTTACAGAGATAAAGGAACAAATAGGTGAATTCCACACTAAAAAAGAAAGCCCCAAAGCTGAAGTCAAGTTTTTATATTTTATGTGAATGTGAATTTAACCACTACCTGTTCCTTTGCAGTTCACACTCTGAAGTGGCTCCCCGCTCTAAACCACTGATGATGTAACATGACAGAGACAGTGGTTTCAACAAGAAAATGAAGCAATCGAATTCATAAACTTAAACCAACATTTCTGTTATGGTGTTTTAGTGATGCTGAGTAGTTCTCCATATAAATGTCAGTTCTGCATTGATTCCTTACATCCTTACATCAAACTTTGAAACAAATATGACTGGCAGATACGAAGGGTCTTTCATCTTCTTATCTTTAGAATAGGTAACAATGTAGCACAAAGGTACTACAAGATCAAGGTAAGACTGCAATCTTTTATATTTGACTGTGTGACAAGAAGGTTCCAAAAATCATAACAGATATCGTACTAAATCAAAGTGTTTTTTAACTTTAAAAAGTGCTTTCCTTTTCAAAATCAGATTATACATACAGTTATAACACCACATTAAAACACCCTTAGCTGGGCAGAATTAAAAAAATATATTCTACTTATACACAATAATGTCACTCTGTATTACACTTGAGTCAAATGTATCAGCCATTCAATTAATCTTTACTTCACTTTTCCAATTGCCCCCAGGCAATTTGACACTATTTTAGCTATATTTCGCTATATTGTCATTTTTCGAGAGATGCACTGAACTAGTCAAACTGAAAATCAACAAACCTCTGAAACAACATCACCCCGTACATTAAAAACATCCCTGGTCTTCTTTTATGAAAACCACATGACATCAATTTTTGTAGGGAGTTTTGTCAATACTGCAATCATAGAAACAGTATTTGATTTTTTTTATCCAAAATGTTAAAATGTGTTAACCAAGAGTCCCAAAAAAAAAGAAACCATAAACACAAAATAACAAAATGAATACAAAATGCATGCAGATTAGTATCAATTAAAAAAAAAAACATTCTATTGCTTTATAGTGCCCTTAAAAGCATTAACCTCAAAACTCATCACAATTCAATAGAATTACTGGAGAAAGGCTGAAACTAAAATTGACAAACTTGTTTGTTTTTTTTCACTGACAATGACTTCTCTACAAATTGCACCTACCGTATATGCTAAATTAGAACAGAAGCACGCATTAAAAATAGCATATTAAATCAGTAAAGCTAAGTCAGTACAAGACCTTTACTAGATTTTACAAGTATTAGAGCTATGGAGTAAAGATGACCCAGAGGCCTCTCTAGCAAGACAGTGCAAAGAGCTCTCCAGCTGAATGCTTCCAACAAAATCAGCCACATCTTATTCCCTTACCAAACAGGCGTATTTATCATAACTAATCCTGAAGTGAACAAAAAAAACAGCAATTAATACAATAGCACAATTTCATCATGTAAATAAATTACATATATAATCAAATGTGGCTAAAAGCCCCAAAACTCCAATAAACGACTGGTTTCACCATCATTATGTAAAAGACTCCAGCCATTAATAGAGAAATTTCAGACCCTAAAACACAGTATATATTTACAAACGTATTATATTCAAACACAGCTTTTTATATACAGAAGACTGCACTTCTTTCTTAAAAGAAAACCGATGTATTTTTCATGCGATTTACTAAATCTCCTTAAATTCTGAACATATTCAGATTTAGGTGTTTTGAATAACACAGGTGCTCCAATCACATCTCAGTGGCACAGGAGAATACTTAGATAATTCCATTTAAAGGGTAAGTAAATAACATCCATAATCCACCATCAATCCTGGAAAATCCTGTGCCAACCTAACAGATAACTGTCAGAGAGCGTAATGTGGAAAATTTCATTTTGCAGGTTCAGAAATGAATTTCTCAGTGTAAGAAAATCAATAAGATTTTCTGCAATATTTTTAAGGAGACTTTTTTATTGCTTTGACCTACTGCTGTGCAGGTACAGTACTTTCAGATCTCACCAGAGTTTATGTCTTTCAAACATTTGAATATGATGAAACCATTTCTACCACTTTAACGTAAAAGCCTCTCAACAACTTCTTTCCAAATACTCTGAGACAAATACATAATCCTGCCCACACCCTGCCAAAAATCACATTGATGATTAGTTGCACTATTAACCTTTGGTATACTGCATAAAAAATAAAAATGCTCAATATATTCACTGCTGGCATCTGTATTCTTGAAATGCAACAAAACAGAACAAAAACTGCATGCTTTCTATAATATTCATTTTTCAACATCTTCCTTTGTCTTCTGTCTACACTAGAAATTATTTGGTAGTGATATTGGAGTTCTTCAGCAGTCAATTTTTAATCATGTCTTATTCAGAGCCCAAAATCAAGTTCTGTTTCTGCAATAGACACAAACCTTCAATTTCCACATTTAAGGAACTACTGTATAAAGTAGCAGCTTATCAATACTAACAAGGAAATGTACACTCTTCTCTGGTGGTATGTATAATTAAACTTTCTAGTAAGAAAAAGTATAAAAAGGCAAGACACAAGTAAATAGACAGGATTAGGCTACTGCTCTTCAGAGTATACGCACAATTCAGTGTAGCTAAGCTCATTCACATACAAATGCAGGATACCATTAACATGAGAAAAAGCAAAAAGATACAAACTTCTGTACTAACCTGTCATACTTTTTCTGTTCCACCCCTTTCTGTGACCCACTACCCTTTGTGAAGAGTTGCCTCTGTTTTAACACACTGCTCTGACTTCCCCCCATCAAACTTTACGCCTAAAAGTGAGAAATTAAAAGCCTTTCTTTTTCTCCCTGATTAAACCTGAAATATTTTTAAATATTGTCCTCACAGGTAAGCTAAGTGGTTTTAAGCATTAAAGGCATATTCAGGATGTTTTTAAAACCTATTACAGTAGCAGGCTCAAAAGAAGAAGGATATGAATAAAGGGGAAATTAAAAATGTAAATAAAAGCAAATATCTAATCGTACAGAATTTATTTACTATATTTAATTTCAGCACTTCAAGTTCTGGTTTCTATGAAAAGAAAGGGCATGCTAATATGAAAAGCATCACATATAGTTTTTAAGAGTAGTAGTTCAGAACGTGAACTAAAAATATAGGCACACATTTATCTCTGTGCTGTTTTACTGTAGTTTTCTTCATTATAGAGAATACAAAACCATTTCTATTTTGATCTCTGCTACTTACAGCATAACCCTTCAGGCAGATGAAGGTATGGTCTGTTATTGCAAACCTCATTGCATAAATGAGGCGTTATGTCAGAACATGCTTCATATTAAAGGACATCTTGTACATCTTTCCTCTTGCTGCATATAGCTTCATCTTATACTTATGGATTTTTCAGTAAATGCCACAACCCTGTTGACACTATAGAACTATACAGAGATAAATCATTCTTAATAATGTACAGACATTAATAATTTGTTATGGGCTTTGTTTAACTTAAAATATACAACTGCAGACTGACTTTCAGTTCATCGGCGTCAGGTAACACATTCAAAGACCAGGATAAGCCAAAATCCATTCTGTGAAGCTTGAAGGAATAACCAAGTTAAAAAATTCAAGAATTAACTGAAATAATAATGAAAGCTCCTGATGGACAATAAATGTTAAAATTAACAGAAAAACTGGTAATGATTATCTTCATAATTTTAACCTAACCTCAGAATTGAACCTAAAGATTTTATTAATGCTATGATTTTTGCAAAATGTTATATATTGAAACTACAGAAAACACAAGTCCTCTCATTTAGCATTAAAATCACCTTCTTACTTTTTGCTGCTTTTTCTCTCTCAACGGTATTCCGAGCAAACCCTGGATACATAAACATATTGACAATTTAACCGTTAACTTCTTGCTGAATTCCTTACAATCTGTTGCCTGGTTTAACTCACAACAGCCAACCTTCTGAGCTCCACCAGCCCTAGTGCCAAAATATAACATAAAAAACACATCACCTCAAGCTAAAAGGAGAACTTGCTGGAGCGCGCACACTCCTATAATTTATTTTTTCTCCAAACAAAATAACTTATTACATATTCACACTGACTTTCACAAAGAAACATAGACAGGAGAAAATACGTTACAGATAGCAGGTAACTGTACAAATCCTACATACTTTCCTTTATTTAAGCAACCAAAAATATACATGATTTTGGAAATGCATTACAAGACCTACAAGGCCATTGTTAAAAATCATCACTAGTGCTTCATCTCTTGGCCCCACCATGAATACCCTACTAGGTGGGGGTGGGAGGGCCGCGACTGTTCTCTCCACATGCAGGAGGGGCCCCTTTACCAGGTGGGCATCATGTCAGGGAACCACACCCGCCCCAGGTGTTTGGACACCTCCCAGTGGATCTGCTCCAGGCTGTACTTGTGGTCAGGGATCAGCACCTCCTCCATGATGGAGAGCTGGGAGAGCCGCCCGCCACACATCTTGACGAACTCCACGAAGGCGCTGCAGGACACCTCGCACTCGCCCAGCCCGATGGCGGACAGCTGCTTGCAGTGCTCGGCGATGCGGATGAGCTCCTCGTCCAGGGGCCGCAGGCCGTTGGCACACACCACCAGCTCCACCAGCCGCGGGCACGTCATGCCCACGCGCCCCAGGACCTCCTTGCTCACCGAGCGGCCGAAGTAGAGGTGGGTAACGGGGATCTCGTAGCGGAAGAAGGGCCCAAACTCCTCCTCGTACAGGAAGAAGTACATGACCAGGCTGAACTTGGGCGAGTGGCGCACCAGGGCGTCCCAGCTGCTCTTCTGGATGGCGTGGAAGTGCGTCGTCCCCGGGTTCTCGCTCACCACGTCGATGCGCAGGTGCTCCAGGTGCACGTGCCTCTCCGAGGACAGGGCCAGCAGCAGCTCGTCGCTCAGCAGGTAGTAGTTCAGAGCCAGCTCTCGCAGGCCGTGGCACTGGTCCGCCACACACAGGATCCCTGCAAACGACACACACCGCTGCTCTCAGAAACTCGTGCCGGGAATTCCTCACTGGTACTCAAGAAGCAGACCCGTTTGCGTTAAGTACGTCAAAGGTTTTTTTACAAAGACGTTAAAAAAACCTTTGGACAATCTGTCCACCACCCACTAATGTACAACAGAAGAGAAAAAGAAGAAGCCATACAGTATAAGAAAACAATCCTCCACAAGAAGCACTTAGGCTATCAAAATGGCAAATGTTCATATTCTGCATTGACTTTTTCTGCATTGCGTATTTGCACAACACTAGTGATGGAGAGGTGCTTAATCTTGTCACATGAACTCCCTTGATAAACCTTTTTCACTTGTCACTTCCTTTGTGCTTTTATACAAGGTACATGATTGTATAGAAGCTAACCTTTTTGGTTTCGTTTGTTTTGTTTCCTAAGTTGTTTTGTATCTTTGTTACCTGTTATGTCTTGTCCTGCTCTGATTGATTACAGGATTACAGACCCTGACCCACCCCTGGATTAAAAGGAGGCTTTCCTGTCCATTAACAGGAGGTGGAGCTCAGGGTATTCCACCTTCCACTCATGGTGTAGCCTTTAGTCTTTATCTGAAGGCAACCCCAAGAGTATCCTTGAGTGTTTTTATCTTGTCTGTTATTTTAGTACAGCCTGGTTTTGTAGGGTTCTTCTGAACCTACTAGTAGAAACTGCCTTGAAAGAACTGTAATGTACATTTTTTAAATGTTTTCTCTGTTTTGTAAATATTTTTCTGAACAACAGCAGTTTAGTACACTGACTGTGGACAACTTTTTTATTGGGCCTGTAGTTTTTATAGTTTTTGTGGCCATCCCTTTAATTTGAGCTTTACTTATTTAATTTTTAATCACAAAGGTCATTTTTAGAATGTAAGTGCATCATCCATCCATTTTCATTCCTTACTTTACAAACAACGCCACCTCATTCCACTTCCACACACATCACACACCTGCCGGAGAAACGTGTGGGCAGCTGCTCATCTTTAACAGTTTGAGTGTGTCACTGTTATTTGCCACGAGAACCTTCAGTGAAGGATCGTCCACTGGTGTATCATCAATCTTCAGTGATGAAAGGGATTTGGAGTTGACAAACACTACCGTCAAGGCAGATATGAAATGCGACTATGGAAAGAAACAGAAATCGCTTTTACCAGTTGCACTACAGAGAGAAAATTCACAAATACTATTTCATTATTATACAAATTTCTACTCCAACTAATTTGAGGGCCTTATGGGAGTGTCTGATTTAGGTAAAAAGTATTTTTTTATGAATTACAGTACTCACATCACAAATTGTGATTAATTAGAGCACAATACTTGAGATGGATGATACTCCATTGTTCCTCCTACCTTTGGCAATTCCATGAAACTTGGCCTTGCAGTAGAAATCAATCCAAGTGTTTTAAGAGAGCAGTTGACGAGCTGTGAGAGAATATCGCACGCTGCCTCAGCTGACTCTGTACTGCTGTCCACCTGAAAACAAAGACAACATCCTGGTATATTCCAAGTGCTCATTTTGTTTGTTACTACTAGAAACACAACACTCAATAATTTGAGAGAATTACAAACTTCTAGGAACCCTTCACTCTTCTGCTCTGAGTTTTCATAAAACTAGTTCAACTTGCCCTGGAGGCACACGTCTTTGCCATTACCCATGACGTTTAAACAGTTTAGAGGGGGAAAATTACTGTGCAGTCTAGCTCTGCAGGCCAGGGTTCCTCTGTATTTCTTACACAGTTTGCAAGACTGTTTCCTGAGATAATCTTTAGACATATACTGGTTTATTAGTCATGCTAAACCCGTGGATGCCTGTGAGCAGAGTTAATATACAATTAGGTAATCTGAAAGAAAATAATGACGCAAGCTGCACACTAGCGTCTTAAAGAGCAAAAAAGTCCCGTTTTATGATTAATGTAATTCAAATAGGGTGCAATCTTTTTTCCTTCAGACCACACCCTCTTAAGCACTCCAATCTATACCAGTTTCTTTCTACGACTAGGCCTTCAGGTATTTCATTGCCAGCCAGCAGGATCAGTACAGAAGCTGAAATGGCCACATGATGAGCTGCCGGGAGATAGCTGCTGAAAGGCACAGGTCCCATACCTTGAAGCTGACGTACTGCAGGTGGTTGGAATGCCGCTTGATGATCTGCTTGATGAGGTCAGGGTGGGTGGCCTTCAGGTAGGACGTGGCGGGCTGGCTCAGCTCAAACTCAAAGCACCTCCACAGCTCGGGCATGTGGAAGGCCTCGTTCCACCTGCGGCACACCTGCGAGGCCTGGGCCCGGTCCAGGAGGGGCAGGTACTGGAAGATGTGCAGGAGGATTTCCTGGGGCAGCCGCCCCCAGTTGACCGCGACCTCTTGGGATTCCTCGGGCAGGGATCTCACTTTCTTTAACCCCTCCAGTACGTCTTCGCAGGACGAGCTGCTGTCCTCATCACCCCCTTTCCGACCGCGTTTCATTCTGCCAAAGCAAAGGAAAAGATCCTGACTCTCTGTGGTCATTAAAAAGCCCAGGGCGTTTCTCGAAAAGAGTAGGGGTGTAACCCCAGCGTCCTGGCCAAACAGACGAGAGTAATGAAAGTAGCAAAAAAATGGAATGACAACAATGGAGAGACTGTAGAGCATTTCTATTAAAACGTGAGCCAATAAGCAATTACTTTTTTCCCTCAAAATACCCAAACCACAGCTGTGTGTCATACACATTAACCAGGGTGGGGTCTATTTTAATACAGCTATAATTAAACACAACCTTCTGCAAGATACTGTGCAAATGAAATAATTTTGGACACTTTATAAATATATAAAAGATTTATCTAGCGATTAAGGCCAAATATCAACAAGGTCAAACTGTGTTGAACTAACCCACCCGGGCTCAAAACAAAAGGTAACAGACTAAAGCATTAAGTGTCTTTTTTCTCTTTTTACACAAAGATGGCTTGTACACCTTGTACACTGTGACAGTCTACCGACTAAGGCACCGCTGAGTGTAAGCAGCTTGAAAGGTTTAGCTTCTGTATGACGTTCCGTTCGGCTTGCAAGGACAGGCTGTGCGCAGATACTGACCAAGGCGTATCAGTGTACTAAAGTACTGTATTTACCAATAGAGAGACATGATCCTAGGGCGCTTCATCGTTTCGCCCCGTACAGAACAAGTAGGAATTTCAGAGCTGGAGACCAGTGCAATTTAACACTAGAAATTGCTGTAACCTCCCTTTGACTAAACGGCTAGAAACGCTGCAATATCACCGAAAAGAGATTTCAGTCTGATCTGAGACAAATATGTGTCGTCACTTATTTCTCCTGCATTACTGAAGCGTCCTGCTGCATCCCATCCTTTTTATTCCTTATGCTAAATCGCTTATATACGGTGCATACCGAGCTCCTGCAGACACCCCTGATCTACCTTAACAAAACATGCGTGACAGCTGTGCAACTCTCTCTCACGTGTCCTCCAGTCTTCTGACTGACCGCTTCAGGCTCCGACAAATAAGTCGTTCACCGGGAGAATGACACCGTGCTAAGCTCAGCCAGTTCTACTCAAGCACAGAAAAACCCCGCATCGCATTTCAGTCGTTCGGAAAAAGAAGACGTTCTCGGCACCGCTAGTCTGCCGTGCTGGGCAGCCTACTTAAGTCAGTGATTCATCAACGAAGCCTGACGCCCAGGCACTCAGACACTGGACCATTACATTTTTTTTGTATTTACATATCATCAGTTTACTGCAAGCCAGCATGTTTTTCATAACTACTGCTGATTTTAAAATATTGTACACGCGGGCAGCTAGCTGCCCGTCCATACTGAAATCGGAATTTTTACTTTAATTTGAATGCATCAGGGACCGTTTCCACGGTCAACGCAACTGATGATTCGGATGCAGCAATGAGTATGCCGTCGTGGCTTACACGCAATTCACCAAAGCAATGACTTCTGATCACAGCTTTATCACATACCCAGCACAAAACAATAAAGCGTCAATATCCAACAGCAGAAGAACTTCACACTGTTTGATTGTTAATGTATAACCAGGAGCAGTCTGCTTTTAAGGGGACCTCCACCCTCTCGTTTCTTACCTGGCTGGCTTGTTGTGTTTACACACCCAGTCTCAGCAAAAAAAAAAAACAGGGCGATCGCTGTGCTGTCACATCAACCCGGGCCTCCACTAGAAAACCGCATCCGAACAGGGCAGCTGAAAACGCTCATTAGGCTTTCAGTCGATCCGGGCTGAATCGATTGAGGGCAAGCCAGAAATCTTCGTCGTTTTCAAGCCCGCTTACGGCGCCTCCAGACGGATCTTGCAACCTGATTTCTCTAGATCTCTGGCGCGTCTTCCAGCCCACTAGTCTCCGAAAATGGCGTGGCGTGGTTGTGTCACGGGACAGAGGTGCATTGTGGGAGCTGGGCTGCGAGGCTCGGGCGATCCTGGGAGGAGAGAGGAGTCATTCGTATCTTTTTAGTAAACGGTCAAGACGGGTGTGCTGTTCGTAACTATTTGCACAGTCTTAGTTTTATTAACCTCTTTTGTCATTTTAAATACTCCCTAGCTTAGAATAACGGACAAGGAAACGCTCTATAACGTATACGCATTGAAAAAGCCCAGTTCTATTGTCCTTGATTTTTAGTTGTAGGAAAATACCATAAGGTAGGCATAAACGGAGACTGTCAATAAACTAAACAACACCTACAGACCACTAACGTTCTACGCATAGGTTGTTTGAAATAACTTCTAATATTACAAGTAATGCTTATATACATATATGGTTTCAGCTGAATATGTACTCTATAAAGACTAATGGCAGTACTGGCCGTTTTTTTAATTGAGCATTTTTTGGAAAATACGGCTTGCGAAAGGTATAATGTCTTCGTGGAGAATACAAGGTGCGCAAGCTGCGACTTTAAAAGTGAAACATCATCCGAAACACTACAACTGAATTTACTCTGGTGACCTAAAAATGTGTAATGATGAATAGAAGTAGTTGACCGATCCATTGCATAAATTCTGCTTAAAGATTTAGCAGCAAATTTAGAACGATGCAATTTCGACTGTTTTTTCCCCTTTCACATAATTACTATAGACAATTATGTCTTCAGAAAATCATAAGCTGAAAAAACAAATCTTAAACATCTTACTTGCAGAGTTTTCATTGATTTTTTTTTGTACAACAGCACAAACATTCAGAAGCAGGTAAATGCTACACTGAAAGTAATATTTCATTAAATTTGAATGTGTAGAAAAGCCATGAGAGGTATTGAATCAAACTGTTGGTTCACTTCTCTACTAAAGTTGGGCAGTATAACCTCTGTTGACTGTACTGTATATACATATATACAGTATATACTAATGTGCAATGATATTCATACCCTCAATGAAAAAGGAACTAAAATAGCATTAGACAAACATGAACTCATTGGATAATGTCTTCCATAAAACAATTCTAAAGCTTTTATATTATAATTGTAATAGCATCAAACTGAGTAAGTTTATATTTGTTACAATTGCATTCTAGAAAATTCTAAAGTCACATTTATTCATGCCTCTACGTTTTCCTAATTAAAATTCAACAATATCATTCTGCTCTCTGGGAATGCAATTGAAGGCTCCAGAACTATATAGAGGCCTGCAAAGATTTCCTGCATACACAGGGTATTTTATTTTATACATTTTGTACCCTGGGGTGCAAAAGGAACGAACACAGTGAAGACAGCAGTAGACACTGTTGTGTTCATTCTTAAGACATACCTTAAAGCAACTAGTGTAGAAGCAACCCTACCATGAACAGATATATAAAGAGTATATCGCCACCATACTGTAGGTTTGAAGACTGGAAGCTTCTGCTGGAAAACTAAATTCAAAGGCAACAGCTGGAGAACTTTAACACAGTCATCTTTTGTGATATGAGGTAATCAAAAATTGCCATTCTAAAATCACCTGCATGAATGTAATGATCATGGCTGAGTGGATCTTCTTCTAAGACTTAACTACACAAAAGAGGTCTCCAATTTGAAACTATCTGAATGGAATTTGGAAACATCTGTTAGAACAAAAACCAAGTTAATCTTGATTTCTCTTTACATTATGTTAGATGTAAGGTGAAGCTCACGCTAAGAAAATACTCATGACCGCTGTGATATATTGCCGAAGGCCTGTTATGTTTTGTGGTTATTTTGCATCTGTGGGTGCCGCAAACCTTAAGATAGCGGTAGCTGTGACTGCCAACACATACCAAGACATTTTGGGCAAACTCTTCTGGCAAGGAGCTCAAACTGGGCATTTTCACATAAGAATCATCCAAAGAATACATACAGTAGAAATCAACAACAAAATGGTTCACTGTACACAAATTAAATGTGTGCTAAAAATCAACTTGCCATCTCAATCTCCAAGCCTGACAAACCTGAACGTTTGTGGTCAAACTCATGAGAATTCGAAGAGCCTGGAAGAATGGAGACCCCCTACCTAAGATGTACCAGAAAACCTCCATCCATACACTAAAGGAAGTGTCTTGTCATTGTAATCTATGCCAGAGTATTTACAAAATAAACTACTAACTATAGAAATACAAGAATGTCTTGTCATGTAATGTCTTGATTTACAATACATTTTGCCCTGTGCACGTTTGTTGTTGTCCCTACTTCATCAGGGGTATGAATAAATCTGCACTTTAAATAAAGTAACAACTTTTTATAATAAATTCTTTACAACGTGTCTTAAAGGTAAAAATACAAAAATCTTTCACCGGTGTAAGCAGTGATATCAAATAAAGAACAAAAATGTCACCTATCAACAATTAAAAAGATTTAAAAACCCATATAATTCTTGAGTACACTTCAAACAAATTACAAAAACCCTGAAAGTGAAGTCTTAAAGAGGGTTTCATTTTTAAGAAAAAACAAAAAATAAACAGGAATGGAATTCATCAATAAAAAAAAGAAATCAAGGAGTAATTTTTAAATCAATAAGAGTTTCTAATATTAAAATATGCTGTATGCAAAAATGTAGTGAAAGAGGACATTTTGTACTTTTGGTGTGTGAGGACCTTGTTTTCAGAACAAACTGCAAATATAGATTAATCTGAGCATGATATTATTGATCAATCATTTGTGTAGCTTTTCACACATTGTTTACCATTTCTAAAGGTTTATTATTCTTTGAAGCAGAACAGTAAAGGACTGTGAATAGATTACCGTTTTTGTCTCTGTGGATGTGAAAAATTAAGATGCTTGCAACTCTCAAAACACACTGAACAGACTTCACAGACAAAAACATTTTTTCACTGTATAAAAATGTACAGCGGCTTTATTGACATATACATTCCATATGTTTACAGCTGCAAGATAGGAGGCACACCCAGTATTGCACTTCATTAAAAGTTCAGGCTCAAAACATAACCCAGAAGATTAAATGAAACTGTAGTGTAAAAGTAAAGTGTAAAGTAGCAATTTCAGATTACACCTATTTTTGATACCATCATTATATACAGGATGAGATAAATCATACACTATTTGCCTTCCTAACATAACAATCTTAACAGTCTCTTTTCATAAACCATACGACTTTATTTTTTTTTCCACCCATGGTGCAGTCAACAGTGGGGAATACTGTACAGAATTACAAAAAAAAAAGTCAGTTTACATATAACATTATCATTTGATTTTTAGTTAGGAAGCTGGCATTGCTGTCTTCATGTGTTTTTGTATGTTTATCCACAGCTGCCATGAGCAGGTTTTATTCTGAATGCATCAATAGGCGTCAGTGACTAGGAGGTGTGCAACGTTTATAGGAGCCGAGGGTTACAACGGCTGCATGCAAACACGCCACAAGTTTCTCTTTCAATTCCTGAATGCGCACTGGTCTGCACTCATTCAGGGCTTTGTCCGTGTCCCGTTAATTCCAGAGGGTCTTTATCTGAGCTGCCCCCAAGTAGGGAGCGCCTGAAGGCTCGAGTGAGGAGGAATGGCTCTGCTGGGGGACAGCGTGCTGCTTCAGAAGGTGTGAGCGTTTCGGCACACCCCACAGCCCAGGGCAAACTCCTCTCCTGTGGGTGGGTGCACAACGTGCAGCGGGCACTCTGTTCCCTCCAGCTGTTTACCTTTAGGACCTGTCGGGAAGAAATAGGGGTTTGAATCTGCGCTCTGTTGGGAGCTGTCTGGGACATTCCTCAGTCCTAAAGGAACCTTACTGGAGTATGTCTAAATAAGAGTAGCAAGGCCAATTATAACAAAACAATCAAAAGACAGAGAATCCAAGTGTGTTCAATTAGATAATGAGGATTTGCACTTTTATATTTTTACATCCCAAGGTAGGCCAAACATCTTCAGGATGTGCTTTTTTGTTATTGTATTTTTTAATTCGGTTGTCGTTGCAATCAATTCACTGCCATTAATTTTTTTATATACATTACAGAGACTTCAATAACAGCCCCAGAATTAGTTTACATGGCATGGTTAATTTATGTTGAAGAGAGTATCACTCAGGAGGCTACTTCTTAGTGAAGAAACTAACAGAAGTATCATGATTAAACAAAGAGCAGGAAAGAAATGCGAGTTAAAATGGAGAAATGATTAAGCAAATAAAACTGTCTGTAGTCCAAAGGAAATAGTGAAACAACCACAGTCTCAAGATATGAAACATGATTACTAATAGAACTTTGATTTATAATGAACAGCCTTTTCTAACTTTAAATATGAAATCGGATTAACAAATATAAAAGGGCACCGTGTGACTTTTATTATATAAAATCAAATATATATGTACAAACCTAATATAACACTAATTTAACTCTTCCAAACCCCTGCAGACACCCACACTGGTTGGTCTTTGTAGGCCTAGACTTACCTGCCAGGTTTTATTTTTTTAGTTTAAATTCTGGAGTCTTTTCAGCTATTCTCATAAATTTTTAAGCTCTAATAATAAGTAAAATTATTTATAAAATCCAGTATTTTTGGTTATTATATTAAATTTAAATACAGCGATGTCTATAATAAATTGCAAGTGAATTGTTAAATACAATAAATACAATACCTGCACATTCAACATCACAATACATAAATCACAGCTGAATACTTCTTTCATTATAAATGTGGCCCTCCTCTTTACCAAGTAAAAAAGACAGTAAACCCTCAGTTTAACAGGCTTTACTTTAAAATACTTCAGATTTAATGGACAAAATCTGCCAATGGAAATTTATTTGTCTGTAAAATCAGAAACACTGAACTTACCCCCACAATAATAAAATACTAATAATTACTACAGAGGTTTAAAATTCAGGAATATCAATGTTGTGCTATAGGAATATGTAAATTGCTTGTGATGGATGTTATTTGTGTTTCCTGTGCTTAAGAGAATTTTATATATTTAAAACACATGAAATGAAGAGCTTATATATTTATAAGAAAGGCACAGGAACAATTGCAATCGACTGTGTTGAATGTAATTGTTAAAAAATGGAAACCACTAGTCCATTAAACCAAGGGTTTACTGTAATACACTGACAAATGCTATGTGATCCACCATGTATCCATATAAATAAAAGATTGGCAGCACTGTCATGTATGTTCAAGCTTCCCTTCATTTCCTTTACAAAATGTTAATTTTCATATACATAATTACCAACACTTATGCCCCAATGCCTCCCACATCTCTGCACTCATGACTGTTTTTCCAGTATCAACAGCGTATTCTAAGGAAATATGATGGGTCAGGGTCTTTGTACAAAGTTTATCCTGAAAGTTTGAAAGTTGCCATCTTAAGGTGAAAGAGCACAGTTAATACTTCATTAAACATTTTGCCAATACAGAGCTTTAATGGTTTAAAAAAAAAATGTGCCAAGCCCCGTTTCACTACCTGCAGGGCAGTGAGGAAGCTCTTCCTTGGGGACACTTGTCATCCTCTGGAAGTCATCATGGCAGGCGTTGCAGAAGTGTGTTGTTCCAAAGCAGAAGAACACGGCCACTGAGCAGCAGTAACGGCATTTGTACTCCAGGAAGTCTGTGCCATGCTTGGAACACATCTGCACAAGAAGAACACATGGCTGCTGAAGGAAATGGCATTTCTCAACATTTGATCTGTTTTCAAAGAAGACCAAGTGGTCATAACATTAGATAGCAGAATCATGATCTTGAGTCATCAGAAATGAGGAAATCCAAACAAGACTGAACTACATACACAGACTGGATGAGTATTACCAGGACCATTTCATCCTAACACACCATGTTTTGGGCCTCGCAAAAGACAATATGGTCAAAGAGCCTTATCGATGCATTATTTTAAAGCAATTTTACAGCCGCCTTTACCTGTGCCCTTGAAACATCTGAGCATGCTCCACAGATAAGCTCTCTGGGGTCATAGTCATCCCCTTGGCCAGCCTCTGCATCACAACGCGCTTCGCCACCAAAGTAGGCCTGGAGGAATCGCCACAAAACAAGCATACTTCAGGTTTAGAGCATCCATTTAATTGAAGATTTTATGTGCAATTTAGATGTTCACAAGCTTTTTTGAAGGCACAAGCACTCCTTTTCCACTCATCTTTTTCAGTTGAAACAGATCATACACATGTCATCAGGAAATGAACCCAACTCAACAAAAACCCAGAGATCACTGCAGCTTAAGTCCATACAACATAACATTTTTGTTTCCAATTGAATCCTAGAGAAAAAAACACTTTAAATATTTATAAGGAGTAAATAAAAATACTAATTATACATAAAACCTGAAATTAGAGACACTTTAATTCTCTAATTATACTAAATCCTATAATTCAGGACACTTGAATTATCCAAAGAAACAACAACAACAACAGCTTTCAATGATACCTTTTTGCACTTGTAGCAGACATAATAAGCATATCTGTTCATGGCAAAGCCAGCGGGATCATTGTGGAACCGTGCACCAGGGGTAGTTATCGCTTCACTTTTGTGAAGTCCTTCATATTCAAGTCTCATTAAAGCTTTTCTTCTGACATCTTCATAAAGCTCCTTAATGGGATCCAGCAAATCCTTTATCACTTGATGATTGATTTTGTTCTGAAACAAAACAGACTCCATTACAGTTAGCCTGTTAGTAATCTGGGAACGTAATTTAATAATGTTCCCTCACACTAAAAAATGTTGCATTTATGATATATAATGTTACATGAGGATCTGATGCGTCCTTAAATACCAACACATTACCAAATCCATACCATTGAGAAATATTTTTCGCATTTTTGTTTACCTTGCAAATTGGACAAGACATGAATCCAAAGGTTATCCTTGGTCCAAGCCAGCGATTCTCCAAAACACGTCTAGTACACTGAAGGTGGAACACATGACTGCAGTCCAACTGCAGAAAGGACACAAAACCAGTCATTTGCTGACCCAAAGAATAGCGTCTTTGAAAAAAATAACTAAAAAGGAGACACATTATGAATCTGTACACACAGAATGCACATTTGATCTAATCTCAAACATCCTGACATGGCCATGAAGAATTCTGCCCAACAAGTGACATTGGGAGCTGTATGATAAAGAGAAGTTCTCTTACCTGAATGGCTGGAGCCGCTGAAAGGGCCTCTGTGAAACAGATCATACACATGTCATCAGCATCCTGCTTCAGACACGAGGTGCTCTTATCACAGCCGTGGAGGCATGGCAGACACTGCTCCTCGTTCTTCACCCCTCCACACAGGTGTCCGCAGGAGTGAGTCTTGCTGCATGCAGACTTGGCATATTCCTGTGATAGAGACAGTACGGGAGTGTTACGTCTTAATAAAGCTCCTGTTTTGTTACCTTTGTTCCACTATCGTACAAGAAATTAAAATTCCCAGTTTAAGTGTAACATTTGGATCATCGTCTTGAAAAAATCTTTACTTCTCCCCACCTCCAGAAAAGACAAAACGTTACACTCTTTTCTGTCTGTATTAGTTACGTACAACTATATAAGCAGCACAGTTTCACAAAACGCGTCAAAAACAAAGGAAAAAATATGGTTCCCCTTGCAATTTGGTACATAGTTTTCTTACCTGACAGTCAAGGTCTGAACACACACTTCCCACAGCTGAGAGCTCAGTCCCGTTTCTTGTGCCACAGAACCGACAGGCCTCTGAACTGCTGGAGGCTGGCTTTCCTGGAAAGACACATGCTCCTATCAGAAGACTGACAGCGGCAGACGGCCCGCAGGATGTGCGTTCAGACCTTAGAAGCCACTGAATGATGAAGCCCTCCTTTAACGGGGCTTGTTATGTGCACTTTAATGAGCCTGTTATGGTGACCTTGGTCTTGAGATCTCAAGAGCACTCCCCCATGCCAGGGAACCTGGGGTAGAGGGTTTGAGGTTTGTCTAGGCTTTGCAGATCATGCTCAGAGGCATGCTAGATAAGGACAGCTTGAATACGGGATCTGACTGCTTGTGCTACAATCAGTAAACTGCAACTGACTTCTTTTTTTTTCTAATAATGGCACACAAATTTAATAGCACCATTCATTAGCCACAAATTTCCATCCTGAACATTTACATTGGAAAATTGAAACAATACCTTTAATAATTGCTAAACGTCTTTTATGTCAATACAAGATGTTTGATATGTTTTGAACAATAAAACGACCACGTCAAACGTTTTCCAATGAGTTTTTCGTATGGATTTAACTCATTTTTTGTATTCTGCATGTCGCGGGGAAGAAAAAAAATATGGCAACAACAAATCCAACAAAATGTCTTTGTTTCCAGATAAAGGTGGTGCTATTATACCAATTATTTGTGAAACATTGACATTTTCCACAGCTCTTCCACTTCAAAACGAGCAGCCTTGACATACTGTAGATTTACACACAATTTACAATCTAAAACAGACAACAAAAACACAGCAGGCATGCGCTGTCCGCAGGATTTCCCGCTATATTCTGCAGTGGTCACAGTCTGCAACCTATTTCACTTTGGACCCGAATGCAAACGGCCACTTGCTACTGCTCCAGTGATACCTGTGTGTTCCCTGAACTCCACCATGGCTTTCATGGTTTTGGAGTCGGCGAGAGCCATCAGCCAGAAGAGTTTTGTTCTCCCACAGCCCTCGTGCAGGTCCACCTTAATGGCTTCTTCTTCCTCTTTAAATACCTGCCAGGGGGTAGAAAATAGAGATCCAAGTCTTGAGAGTGTTTCTAAAAGACTGATATCCTCATTTAACAGATGAAAAAGGCTTAAAATGTCCCTGTCCAATGTGTCAAATGGCTATCGATGACAATAACAGAAACAAAGGACTTTGAGAATACACTGAAGCACTATACAGGAGTTGGCATTTATAATATTCTAGTAATATACTATATAATATACTAGTATATTACTAGTATATAGAATATTATACTAGTATAGGTAAATTGGTATATCATGAAAACATACATAAAATGCATAAACAAGCAATCAATTGAAATTAATATTTTTTTCCAGATTTCACAAATATCAAGGACCACTTTGACATTTTGCTATACATGAAATTAAGTTGATGCCAATTAGCGCTGGTGACAGTCAGAATAAAACAAAACAAGTAAATATATTCAATACATTAACAATTATGGTCAGTTATGATTAGTCATGTATAGATCAGCTATATGGATAAGAAAACTCCATCCTCGTTAATTTCCTATTAGTTATGATCTAAATGCATAAAGCAGAGAAAAGCAAACTATTTTATATTGTATTTAGAATGGAAAAATAGTATTCATCTCACCCCACAGGGCCAGACTGAAGGCTAAATGTTCAGAAAATAAAGCCTAAATGATCATGATGCCATCTGCATTTTCAATGCAGACACCCTTAGTGGAGCTGCAGGACATACTTGTCTCTGATGTGAGCGAGTGCGCCGGTGTAGGTGGAGGAACCGGTCACAGTCAGTACACAGGTTCCCACAGACATTGCAAAGGATGATTGCAGCTGTCTCTCCATCATCATGGTTGTCACACATGGGCTATGGAAGAACGGGAAGGGGAAATATTTGGAAAAATAAAATTAGACTGCAGGAGCTTGCCTTTTCAGCGCAAGCTTTTAAAATATTTGCAATGCCTCAAAAGAAGTACAATTGTTTTATTGCAAACAACATACTACGTGTAAACCTATATACTGTACTTCACTGAGTTTGCTGCCGAGCAAATTAACAATTTACTGAAAGGTCTGTTTGTGTATAAGATAGTCAAAATTCAAAAGCAAGTTAGTCTTGTCAGACACTACCATCCTCACTTTTATACCTTTCATTACCCCCTACTGCCTTGGAATTGTGTGGTCAGCCACCATCTGCCAAACAAATTACACTCATGTCTTCTTGCTAGTAAAACATCACACAATGTCATTACACCTGTCCCCCACACAATACAGAGCTACACGGTCATAATGCACTGCAGTTTTTCCTCTAGGTGTAAGAGTTTTTAAAACTTGGATTACAATTATATACCAATGCCATACAACAATACAAATATCAATTTAAAATTTAGAATGAATTTTTTAAAAATAAAAACTTGTTAGTCAGTTAGATTCTTTGTGCTGTGCAAGAACTGCCTGCTTCCTATATGGAATATCCTGTAATAGTCCTTCATATGTACACATATTTTTCAAAAACATCACAGCTCTATCAGTTGGCTTAAGCCTTGAACTGACTGATGCCAGATATTTGTATTCCCTTCGCTCAAATTCCTCAATGTTCCTGTCACTGTGGATGCGATTTAGAGCAGCCCATGGCCTGAGACTTCACTTTACCATTTGCTTCTGTTGCCCATCTTTTCCCATCCACCTTCCAGAGGAAAGCCTGTCCACGTGGTCTTGATCCAGAACACAGAGTGAAGCCAGGGCCAGCCATAGCTGCAAAAAATGACAGTTTAAATCAACTGAAGCTTCAGAAATATCATTTTAGGGGCCCTTGTGGTATTCAATTCGAGTGTGCCGTATACACAAAGATCAGTCATCCAAGGCACTTTTCTATACACTCCACCAGCTATATTTCTTAACTTGCCCAGTTTTTGAATCTCCAATTGTGTATAATTTCACATCTTGGCTTCAAGTTAGATACAGGGGAGAATGACGAAGTAAATCACTATAAGCCAGTAGTGATTTAACAGATCACAAGCCCAACAGCTCCATGCTGGAGGTTCATCGCTGACTGAAGAAGGCTTTCCCTCACTGACAGCATGTTTGCAAGCACCCAGGAGGCTGCAGAGGTCGCTGTGCTTCTGAGAGAGGAGAGCTCTGGCCAGCTAATCCTACCCAACCCTCAGTGATGGCTTAGCCAATTGTGCGCCACCTGGAGACTCTTGCTTACAGTTAGATAGAGCCGTGACCTAGATTCTCTCCCCTAATCATAGAGCTCAATATTCCTAGAGATATTCGGAATGCTCCAGGCATATCTTTTAATAGGTATAAACTGCAGACTAACCCTGGTGGTGGCAATGCAGCGTGCCGGGGATCGGTGCTCCTCTTCCATTTTGGTTAAAGCAATGATGGTCTCTGCAATAGCATTCTTAGTCACTCTGGACCAGGCCTCTGACAGATGTCCCTGATGCAGAAGCACACTATGTTTACCTCTCTTTTCAATGGTATGATCACAAAGTACGAGTAAGGAAGAGCATAATTTCATTAAAACAATCAGGAAGCCTCCCAAAACACACAGACCTTTCATTTACTGTTTGTTAAACCACAGCATCCCAGTGCCATGAAGAATAAATATGCATGTGTCACAAATTAGTATTCATAGGTTAACATTCAACAGGTTTGTCTCCTAGCCTGTAGTGTATAACTTACTGCAGCCATGTCCTTGACCAGCTTGATGATGATCTCGGCTATCTGAGTGGGAGTGGACCCCTTCATCCACCAGTGACTCTCACCCCGCCTAATATAGCTGGACGAAGAAAAGGGAGAACAGAATGAGTTTACAATATGTATCCACTCAGTCTCCTCATAAGATGTGAGGAAGACATGATGAGAATCTATGTGAAAAGAATACAGGGAATTCAAAAGTAATTCATTCAATGACATCACTTCACTTCATACTGCAAAAACAGTCATTTGTGCAAAAGTACATAGAAATACACACACATTAACTCCTTGAAGAGCCTAGCCCAGGGGAGCAGGAGTGTGGGAGTCTGAGGCCCTACCTGGAGTTAAAGATCATTGGCAGTGTGACAGTTGTCACTCCTTTCCCTGCAGCTGTGCCCGCAGTCCCAGAGATAGTGGTGCCTTTGGCTTTCAGTTGAACAGTCAGCGCTTTGGCAATGCAGCCCAGGAACATGTCCAGGATACCCAGCTTGTTCCAGTCCCCCTTCTCCGTGGAGTGAATGATGTCGCTGATGTCAGCTGGGGGAAGGGCCTTCACCCCAATGATACTGGCTAGACGAGCAGGGGTCACCTCTGGAAGGACTCGCCTCAACAAGGAGGTCACCTATATGGGCCAACAAGGAGAGGTCAGCTGTCTATACAAATCTTCTGCAGCCTAAACTTCAAGGTAGTGTTTTCTAGGATGATGGCTTCTCAAATTTGTAAAAATAAAAAGACATCTGTAGTTAATATTTTAATTTTTGCAACGTGACAATACTAAATTAAAAAAGTTAACAAATTTGTTAATACAGTAATCCATCAACACGTCATCATTACAATTAAGGGACAAGTTAAGGTTAATTCCATGCTCTAGAGCCTTCTTCATGTGTCAATGTACACACAGCTAACTAAACAAAAGTCTAAAGAGTCTGCATGCATTACTACACGCCTATTACTTATCGCCTAAATACCAAAAATATTATGATGACTCGAGAACTTCAATTAAGGTTTCCAGTTCTGAAAAGAAGCTTTATGTAGGGAGCGTGGTCAAGGCGACAGCACTCAAGTGGTCGCAGCCAGAATGCAGCGATGCCGGTACGACAGTGGGGTGAGGCCTGACCTGTCTCTGCACCCGCGGAGAGGCCGTGTGCAACAGTGAGAAGAGGTCCTGCAGCAGGGTCAGCTGCTGTGCCAGGTACTGGCGCCCCACGTTGGAGCCGCTCAGCGCCAGGACCATGGACAGCAGCTCAAAGCAGTAGGCATCCGAGGCGGCGTCCTCGTCGCTGGGCTGGGAGTTGGCGTTCTCTTTGCTGGAAATGGCGTGCTCCCACTCCTCACGCACGCGCGTGGCCTCCATTCGGATTGCCTGCACGATGTGAGCACACACCTGCGGGGGGGGTTAAGCACTGTGAGCAACTCCGCCGTTTCCATTTCATTTTAATACATCCGTTTACTGCTAATTTAAGGAATCTAGATATTTACTTTAGCACTGGTCTAATCCATTACCTAGTGTTGATCCTGAACAGAGATTAAAATAATCCTGGTGAGTTATGCTAAAGCAGTTGAACTCAACTAAGAACAAAGTGTTCTATCTGTGAAAAACAATTCACATCTGTAATTTTTCCGTTTTCAGATTAGTGCTCTTACTTGTTTCTGAAGATTCGTCAACTTGCTCCTGCTGAATATAATTCCCACCATGTGCTCTTTCAAATCAGCATCGGATGGAGCCTAGACAAAAAAAAAATCAGTATCGCTCAATCTGTTTATGAAGTAAATAAACTTGCAGGGAAGAAGACATTTCAAGCCTAATAACGTTTTCTATCCAAACAGTGAAATGTTTCACATAACAAAATGACATGACTGTGTAGAGGTATTCCCCTGAATACCTCTATCTGGGATTCTGAAGGCCAAGATGACCTTTTTTGGGACAATGTAGTCAGTTCACGAACACAGCACATTACATGAGGTTTTTGACAACAGTCAATTAGAAATAATTTTATTTGGAACAGACTGGAAAGCTGGTACAGAGTTTAATTTGATGTTTTTCCATATTAAAGAGTGCAGTTATTATTATTATAATATGTACTGTTACCTTGTCCTCTCCTTCAGGGGAAGATAGCAAAGCCTTCTCCTCCTGCTCCGGTGTTGGCTCAGCATCGCCACAGATCAGCTTCCCAAACACCTACAGCAGAGTGAATAAGAAAGGTTTTCAGATGAATGTGCAAAGACTTTAAAGCAGTTACAAAGTTACTAGCATTCTCATACTGTGGGGCCGCAACAAGTCCTGAATTCAAAGAATTTATTGATTACAAATTAAAATCAGACAAGAGCATCAATAACGCGTTTTAATTTAAAAGAAATATGCTGATCAATACGGAAAATATGAATTTGGGGCTACTTGATTAAAAACGGATAATATGCTTATGCACAGCTACGAAATGATTTACACAAGTCTGCAACACCAAAAGAGCACTTATAGTGGTTAAGAGAAGAATTACCAACAGAACTTCACGACTTATTCAATTATCATTCTCCCAGATCGCAGAAGGACATGGTCAGGCCCCAGCCATACCTGAGATGTTATGAGCCGGAATACCCGAAGGGTTTCTCCCTCGCAGTTCTTCTGCTGTGCCACACTGGAAGAGATCTGACCAGCAATCTTGATGCTCTCCCCATCTTTCCAGCCCAGGACTTTGACCTGTCGCACTCGCAGAGTGTTCTCCGGTCCTTTCAGCTCAATTTTAATGATGTGGTTATCGCTTCCTGGAAGTTCACTTGTTATCCAGCCAATATGCCTTGAATCCAAGTCCACCTATTAAAAAAGAAACTCAAATTTTGGTTCCGTGGACATCATACCAAAACATACTCTAAAGTCAATGATATTTCCATCTGATCATTTTCAGGAGAGAATGTACAGTAAGCTGCAACAGGATAGCCCTGCACATTTTATAGTCATTATAGAGAATGTTTTAGCAATTAAAATCCACACAAAGGCCATACAGAAAATCCCAAAGATAACTCTACAGAATCTGCTTTTTTATTTTGAATATAAATCTTGATTCTTTAACAGTACATTACTATGTTTGAAAAAGCTTTTGATTTTTTTTATTGCTTTCTTGTGGTATTTGCCTTAAAGTGATTGTAAATGCCACAAGACCACGCAACACCTTTGTACTGGATCACTTGAAAAAATTTGAAAGCAACAGCAATTAATACACATATAGATTTTTTTTAATGTTTCTAGAACCAATATGAATTCGTTACATCATAAACCTTTGATGTGCTCTCAGGAAATGTCAATACACTAACAGCAAAAACGATTATGCATCCTTCAGAAGAAAGAATGCAAAGTTAAAAACATGTTTTGATCAGTTCTTTTTCCTGCTTTCAACAATAAATTAAGAGAATAAAATAGTATAAAAGCACATGATAAGATGATGATTGTTTGCCTTGTATATATATATGTAATAATAATAATAATATACCTGTTTAATTCTGCATAGATCTTCAGCTGTCTTTCCACAAAGGAAGGTCATTGATGTGACTTTGTTCTGCACAAGGAAGAAAAGTCATTTTAAGATCACAATTTTAAAACATTAGGCAAGCAAAATGAAGAACACATTTTGACTATTCATGGTTTGCTTAGTCTCACAAATTCACCAGGCTGCTGGAGTATAACGGTCCTTCACAAAGTGTTTTCAGTATAGCTCACATCAAGAAGGAGGGAGCACAGAAGGAAAAAGAGAAGATCTTCACCCAGGCGGAGGAACAGCTAACTAGTAAAGTGGCGCCTCCAGATTCTAATTGCACATGAATTATGACATTTAAAGGCAATGAGGAATCGGAGCTCAATAAGTCAACACAGCTCACCCCGATGTCTCGGGAGTTGTCCACGTGAGCAGAAACGTAGCGAGCATTGATTCCCTTCACACAGCTGATCGTGACACTTTTGGTCTTGTTCTTGTCCTCATCCCCTGACTCCCAGAAGGTTTCTGTAGAGCCATCGGTGAGGCTGCCAATCATGGCCGGCCGGCTGGATGTCTTGATGTCCACGACGGCGGTCAGGTCCTTCAGGCAGGTGACGACACACAGCTCCTAAAACGACACACAATGGGATTCAGAGCAGCCACAACACTGAATTTAAGAAACTGGAATTTAGAAATCTCTTTGAACACAACACTGAAGACAAATGACGACCAACTATTACTTTAAGATGTTCTTACTTTACTTAGAAGAGGAATAGTGCACTGATGTGTTCCATTCTGTTTACACCCTGTTGTTCTGTTCCTTTTACCTGATTAATGGCTTCATATCCAGACTGAACACTAATGTTGAAACTCTCTTCACTGTCTCCATCGTCAGACTTGGAGAGGATGTTGTTGATATGGTGAAAGACATTGCTCTGGTGCAGAAACTGATGATCTGACTGCTTGAACTTCAGACTCCAGCATCTGCACAAAACAGTTTCCATTAGATTTTGTTACACCAGGAGCTGCTGTGTTATTTTGAAATATCGACCCAACAGTTACTTTTAGAGGAGGTAAGAACTGCAGGGGGGTGAAACGGCTGTATTTGTACTCTACCTCAGGGCCATCTGCTGCAGAGAGCTGCCGCTGGGCAGTGACATCATGAGATCTGAGATGGTCTGGAGGAGCCGGTGGAAGGTATGAGGCAGAGGGTGAGCGGCTTCCCCTGCTATCACAATGTCTGACAGAGGGTGCTCGCAGACACGCGTGTCCTTGTCCTGCAAAAAACAAACTGTCAATTAAAACAAAAACAAGAAAAATAGCCAGCACAAGAAGTTCACTGGATCATCTATAACCAAAATCAAGCTATAATTTTCCACAGAAAACTCAGGTAAGGCACAAACTACACGTGACCCCCTTACCAACTCAAAACAGCAATTGAAGAAATTAATTTTTACATTGCTGGGTTTTCAATAAACAATGTTATTTAATATGATATACACCTTTAAATCCCAAGATATGTATAACATACATTTTTTTATGAAAAAGCACATAACATATTACACAGAAGCAAATTTGGTTACAAAGTAACCCAACTGAAAATCGAAAGGAGGAAAAAACGATTTACAAGAAAAAAATCCAAAGCTGCCCGAGACAGAACTTCCTACTAAAAAAAACAAAACAAAATTAAGACCTGCTCAGTGTTTTCTTTATTGACTCTGTTTTCGTCCTCCTCCTCCTCCTCTGGTTCTGAAGGAGAGGGGGTCAGAGAGGCCACAAAGTGCCAGAGGATGTCATGAAGAGAGGTGGTTTGGATGACGTTGCACAGCAGCCAGTTAAAAGCCTAAGGGAAGAAAACCTTGTAAGATTAAAAGAACCTACTGCACAGCATCATATCTTTAACCTTCATTTTTTTATCAAAAAAAATATGTTTTTAATTGACCCACAAGATAAAGTCAGTTGAAAAAAAAATGGAATAAATGCACTACATTATTGAACACGGTGGGGGAAAGTGTAGCCGAGCTTCAAGTTAATTTGCTAACGATACGCCCCGAGCAGACAGACCTCCATGGCGAACACTCTGCAGGCAGACTTCCTCAGGGCGTGCCTCATGGCCACCTCCAGGCCCTCCAGGTCATGATGCTGGATGACGAAGGCGAGCACAGGCCACTGGAAGTTGCGCTCCCCTTTGCTGAGTGAGCCGTGTGCCGAGATGAGGCGGGAGAGTTCTGGAGAAGGGTGGCGCAGGAGGGAGGAGCCCACTTCTGAACAATACATTGGCCATGTGTTACAAACAGTAAGCATCAAGTATCTAAAAATCGTATTATTGCTCGACACAGAAATTTGTCTAGGATGTAGAAAACAGACTAGAATCAAGGCACGAGGTAGAAAAGGAAAGGGGGAAGTCAGCACTCGGGGTCTCCCTTTCAAGCCCGTGCGGACAGGATCCTGCCCGCCTATTTTAGTGTTGAATAGCTTGGGCACCAAGCTTTTAAATCACAATGTACACAAAACCAAACCCTACAGCACAATCAAGAAAAATCCACTGAATATCTAGCCTGACCAATTCTATAATCGTACCTGTTTTATTAAATGCTGCACAACACAAATCTGACATTTATCTCAACACATTGGCATTTGTAAGTGTGCACTGGGTTAAATGTAAGCGATTCACCTGCATCGCCACTGTTGACTCTGCGACGGGGCACGGCCTTGACTCTGGCTGGTGAGGCGGAGTGCTGCTTGTCATACTCTGATGCCACCACAGAGTAGGACCTTTGAAAGACTGTGCGTTTTGCTGTATCACTGTCTGTAATGGGGCTGGTCTCTAAACTGATGAAGGCAAAACAGAACAAGCTATATAAATAAGTTCTAAAGACAATCCATTGCAATTTCTTCTTCTTCAAAAAGTATTGCTAAAATTACTTTCGCAAGAGACAAATACAAAAATAGTAAAGGAAAAAAACTGTAGACATCTGCAGCTTTATTTAAAGCTAGACCTATATTTTTGACAGGCCATAATATAAATTATGTCAGAACAGGAAAAATGTTTACCTTGGAGGCATGGATTTCATGTTGCTCTCTGGCTCCTCAAAGACATTGGGGCTGGCATCGGGAGTGACAGATATATAGGGAGCTGGGACCGAGGTTGAGCGCAGATACCGCATTTCATCTTGGAAGAGGTTGTCATCCTGATATGCCCCAAAATTTTCTGAGTGATGCCTTCAAAGGATTAAAAAATATATACAACCATAAAACCTAACAGTACACTAACTGCATATCCAACGAGTTTCAGGCATGAACTAATAAATTACCTGATTAAGTAGTTTTCAGCACCCTATCATGTCAGAGGTTTCTTTTCAGCCATTGAAATCCTTGAAACTTTTTGTATTAAACAACTTCTTACTTTAATTAGAGCTTTAATTGATAGATCCCTGTTCGACTGAAAACCAGCATGTGTGGGGATCTTGAAGACTAGAACTGGGAAACAGTAATCTAACTATAAAAGAAAAATGCTGTACTGAGAGCATATCTATAGTACATCAACTATTTAATTTACTTAGGGCTCTGTGCAGTAGTGAAAGTAAAGCAAAATGTCTTCTGCTCAACCAGTAATATCTCATCTAAAGTTTTAAGGCAGATATCTTAATTAAGTTAGAATGTGAGGTAGCCACATACCGTGCAAGTGTCTGTAAATAGAGACAGCCAATTTTGTTGGGCAGCTCCTCAGAGACGCCCTCCTTGAGGCTGGGGAGCTGTGTGTGGAAGGGCTTGGGTGGGTGGTGACAGAGCATGCTGGGCTCGGCAGCACTGCTCAATGACAGCAGGAACAGGGCGTTGGCTCTGATAACCTGATGAGCCTCCATGGTGGGCAGAGCACGCGGGGTCTTCACCTGCATCGGCTTCTTTCTCGACTGCTTCACCTGTAGGGCAGAGAACCAGGTGACTGAGTAGTGCATACCTGGAGCCCGGCAGCAGAGTGGCGATGCGTGAACAATGCTCTTCACATTAACTGGGATAATGGAACTTAATTCTAAATTGTTTTAGAATTTCCTTATTTTAAATAAGGTTTCTGAATAATTTGGGCACAGAAATACTTTTTTTCTGGGCCACCATAAGAATGACTATCTTTTGTGAAACCAGATTCACTAAATGAAATATGTGGAATCAATTAAAATGTATGTAAAAAAATCTCATTTTCTGGTTTTCACTTTTCTTTATCATGGTAGCTACTACCACACTGTCAAAAACAAAAAGCAAAAGCTTTGAAAAAAATGATATATAAAAAAACACACAACTGAATGCAACCTAGCATTTGGAGTACCTGTTTTATTATCAGGTCCTATAACCCTCTGCACAGGAGTATCAAACTGAACTGAAAGATTTTTGGAAAAGCTAAATGAAGGCCACTGACATGTTGATATGATATATTGTTGAAAGACCCCCCAAAAAAGCTGATACAAATCTAAGAGTTTCACCTCTAGAGCAGACACGAGCTGAAACTGAAACAAAATCTGCTACAATGCCAATTAAAGACTTCAATGTTTCACAAAAGAGATACACATATAAATAAAACATACATACATTTCTGGAACAGATTATTTTTGGAGAGGTCACGGTAAGCCAGAGATCATCAAAAAAACAGAGCGGCTCAGTGCACAGACAAAAACCACTCAAACATGGGAAGCACATGTGTACTCTACATAGACACATGCTGTCTCATTTAAACATGTTTTACCCTATTTTCTAAAACTACTTCTGTTAAATAGGAAAGGCAGCGCTGTTGATTTTTTATTTACAAAAGACAAACACAAACCTTTTCTCTCGCTGCAGTCTGCTTCTCACGGAGATACTTTTCTCTGCAGCGGTCACACACCAAGTACCAGGTGCTTCCACCAATTCCTCCATCTCCACAGTTACCAGCCCAGCCGCCACAAAAGTGTCCAATGCTGTTATAGCCCTGACCTCCTGCATAACGTCCACAACCTTTAAAAAAAATTTAAAACTCAGGTTACCATAAAAGATTATTTTTGTTACTAAAGATGGAATACAGAAATTACATGTTTATCCCACGATATTCTGGGTGACGGTACATTACCTGGATGAGCTTGCCTCATGTGGTAGGTCACTGGATAAGGATGTGATTCCCCACACAGCTCACAGATGGTGTCCTTCTCTGGGCCTCCCATGGCAAGCTGGGCCATTTCCCCAAAAAGATTTCCTCTTGGCCTGACCTCAGCCTTCTCCTTTTTCTTCTTCTCCTTTTTGGCCTTCTTACCATCTTTCTCATTCTCCTTTTTCTTCAGAATGGCACTGGAACCAGGGCTGGGAAAGATCATGTTCTGCGTGGCTGCCTTGATGGTGGCCATGGAAATATCCTCCCAAAACGCCACCAGATGTTGAAGGGTTAAGGGAAGAGGGGATTTGGTCTTCGTGGCAGAATGACTGGTAGTATCAAAGGACACTGGCTCAGCCTTTCCATCCTCACACTTTTCCGGGAGTGGAGGTTCCTTGAGCATGGAGAGAACTTTGTTTTTGTTGATGCTTCCCATTTTGGAAATATCAGGCCCGTGAGGGGAGATATTGAACATGTTCAGGGCGGAGGAAATCTCCAGTGAGTGTCTGTTTTTCAGCTTGTTTTCCTTTTCATCCATGGCCTGCTGGCAGTTGAGACTGCTGCGTATGGGGGCATGCTCCTTAGTCAGCTCAGGGTTGAACTTCAAGAAGGAAGAGCAGGCCATGGCATCGTGGACTATTCCTTCATGCCACAAAAAAGCTGCAAACACCGCGCGGGCACATTCAGCTACAGAAGGAGACATGGCTTGCTTGGCTGGCTCTGCCAGACGTACATTCTCGCCTTTGAATAATGGCCCAGACTTCTCTTTCTTTGGCCTCACGTGTCTACCAGATGTCTTACGGCTCACTTTTGGGGATGACCTTGTTTCCAGTTCATCCTTGACGGGAGCTTTTCCTATGCTAAAGTGCACCTTTGATGATCCTTCTTCTGCATTCCTCAGGTCAGGGTTCTCATCATTGCCTTCTTCACTGTTGGATAATGTGCTAGAGGTACATATCTCCACCACTTCACTGTGCAGGTTCTCTTGCACCACATGGGGGGATGGAGCTCTGTTTTCAGAGTTGTTACTTGGTTTTCCATCTTTGGGGAGAATTTTTGGTTTCGGTGAGGTGGATCGTCCACGTAAGGGCTCATTCAGGGGAACTTTTTTCTTCCGGAGCGTATCGGGATCCAATGTGTAGGAGTCGGACTTGGATCTCTCTCGGGGCGGATCTAACCGGGATTTTGAAGATGCGCTCACTTTCTGAGGTAGGTTCCTTTCGTGGGGTGAGGAAGAACGAGGGGAACTGGTGCTCGAAGGGCTGGATCTGCCAGAGGAGGAGCCTTTTTGTTTGGGAGAAGAGGACCTGGACCCTGGGGTTGGCGATTCTGCTCTCAAGCCCGATGTCCTGCCATCTGCCTTTAGGGCTTGAAGAGTATTGTGGTTGGGAGAGAGTGATCGGCTATGAGAGTCTGACCTCAGCTTGGCTGTGTCCGATTTCAGTATCAGAGATTCACTAGCAGACATGCCTTCGTTATTCTTCATTTTTCCTTGGTCAGCAGAGCCCCGGCTGGCACGCCCATCGAGTTTTGGGGATCTGCTCTCTGGCCGGTGCTTCCCTGGGTGTTCAGACTTCCCTGCAGGTGACATTGGCCGTGCGGCAGTGGCCGCATTTCCTCTTTCACCTATGTATTGTGAGAGACTCACTATTACACAATGTGAAAACTTATTTTTATGAAAAGAAGGCATTTGGAATAAATAGAAAAGCATCAAATCCACAAATCTTCAAATTGTACTTCATCCATAAAAGGAAAGAATGATAAAAATGTATCTGGCAATTTGGAAACTGAAATGTGGAACTGGCATAGAAGAATCATGTGATCCTTTTGGTCCCTGTGATACTAAGAAATGCCAGGCCTCTTACAGATTTTACAATGTGTACTGTCCAGAGAATATCCAGTTTAAATATTTTCAATTCTGACAGAGTCAGGGTGGACAGAAAATAATTAATTTGCTTGTTTATGCATATTAAAATGATTTATATACTGTAGGTCCTAAATAAAACATTTTGATAATTTTTTTTAAAACATTTTGGACAGAGCACTAGGTTTATGTTGTTAAATTTGGTTATGAAAGCAGAAAGAAATGTTTAGCTAACAAGTGGAACATATAAGAAGCAAGGGACCATTTAAACTCAGAGTTAAGCAATATTAATCACTCCATCTTGCTTCTCAGCAGATCTCACATTACCAGTCCAAACAAGGAAAACAACTTATTAGTCTATTTACTGAAATGTTACAGCAAATTTCATCATCTAAAAGCTGCTGAAAGGGTAAAAAACAGACCCTTAAAAACTCAAGTACTCTAAACCTTTCTTGCAATTTTAAGCAATTTATTTCAAAATCCTATAACAAATGAGAAATATTATTGACATATTTTAAATAGCAGAATTGAACCTTTTACTTTGGTGACTAGATTATAACAGACTACTGTTTGTTTATGTGAAGCATTCCTCAATATATGGACACTTGTCAAATTACACCAGATTTTTTTTTCACATCCTGTGGAGTGATGGATGAATCGTATGGGGAAGATGAATGACAAAAAAGCTAAAGTGATCTTTACAGTTTTAACCATTTGGTTAAATTTGGCCAATTTTAACAAATTTGAGAACTGCTATCTGAAGGAAGTTAAATATCCACGGGATGATTAGTGAAAAACAAGAGCACAGCTTTGACCTGGAATATGACATACAGTACAAATCTGACCAGGGCGGACACTTCTGTGGGTACCCCTGTTTTACTGGAGATCAAAGCTGAACAGGACACTCGGTTTTTCATCACTCATAATGTATCGCACACAACGAAAGGAGCTGTTTCTCTAGGCTTTACGCTGAATGCCATGCCTAAAAGTGCAAGAAACCAAATAAGTCAGGATCTGAATGGGAGCAAACGAAGCAGAGAGCAGCAGTTTTGATTTTTCGCCCTGTGATGCCATGCATACCCACCCTTTTGTTTCTGAGCTAGAGATGAAAGAGCAGTGCCTGGCCCAGCTACACTGCTTTTGTGCACACGCTCACGTGAAGCAAGGCTGCGAGATGAGGTGTCTACAGCGGAAGACAGTGCAGGTAAGCAACAGAGTTTAAATGGAAGAAAACTATTTCACAGGATATAGAGAAAAGGCAGAAAAAAAGCAATAATAAATGCATGGATTGGTGGCAGTTTTGTGTTCACACTGTGAATTGTCCATGACCTATACTGAATGACTCCACCTGAAGGACCCCCATCTATTCTAAGTAAACATGAAAAGGGTGAAATACTGTAGATCGTGGGCAATTTTCTATTTTCACATGCACTCTCGGGCACACCTTTTGAAATATTTAGCGACAGTACAATTTACCACAACCAGAAGAAGTCCTGTAACATTCAAGCGTTAATAGATGTTAACTGAGACCACAATAACGTGCAAGCTACAAAACCTTTATTAACAGGAAGTCCCAAGTAAGAATTTTTCAACTCAGGCTAAAGATACTTATGGGAAGAGTTGGATAAGAATTTTTGAAAAGCTAATTCCCTTAAATCTGCTCGACTGAAAACCACAAAAACCCATGAAAAAGAAAAAGTGCATTCAAGTTGTTGTTAATTTTCGGGACGTACAGGAGTGGATATTCAGCCTCATGAAGTATAACACTCGGGCAGAAAAATCTATGCAGAGAACAGTAGGCCAATAACCTGAAGGAGGTCTAAAGCAATGTTGAGGAATTAATACAAAGCTCACAGCAAAATGGATGTGGGAATGAAAAGGGATGGTGCTGCTGCTACTGAACACAGGCAAGCAACTGAAGAAACAGCAAAGGTCATTCACCTAAAGGAAAAACACAAACCTGCAGAGGCAGCACAGACAGACATTCAGACAGACAGACTTACTCGGAAGCTGTGGTTGAGGCTGAGGCTGCTGGAAGGAAAGGGACTGTCCAAACACAAATGGGCTGTGGACAAGGGAAGAGGGAGGTTTGGCGGCTTGCTCAAATACGGAGGGAGCTGGGAGGAATGGCCGAGACTGAATGGAATTCAGTATGGCACTCAACTGGTCACCTGCAATGTGGAAGACACGGAAAACTAGAGCTTTTACTACCCTCTGAGGTCACATAGCATCCTAAACCATTTACCTCCCACTCACGGGAACTGTATTTCTGCAACTCAGGGCTTGCGTTTGGACAGGAAGAGGGACAGGGGGCTCAGGGACGTGCTACATGTTTTAAGAAAAACATTTTGCTTTCTGAATGCGGTCACAGCCATGCTCTTTTCTCATGTGATTTGCGCATTTGTGGTTTGACCTTTAGAAAAAGGTTGTATCGGAAATGCTGCAGCACCAAGTTAACATTAAATCGGTAATGGCAAATGACATTCTGACACATAAAAGAGAAAACATACAGTAGGATAAAAGAGACGAATGCCAATCAGATAAACAGGACCATTACTTTAACAGCCAACAGCATGTCCAAATTTAGTGTTGTAGCACTTTAATGAAACAATGATAGACATGTTCCAGAAAGTACGTCTTCTATATTCTATCTAATGTTTAATGAAAATAATTTTGCAAGAGGTAAAGGGATATAGAGGAATACATAAAATATAATCACTGAAACTGAACATTGGAGACAAGTCTCACACAGTAGCAGTCAGCGCTTACATACAGTTCAGCTACTGGAAAGAGCAAGGTGTAAACTTTGATGTTCCTCTAACACACACAGAGGGTGTCCTGCCCATGCAAAGAGAGTGATACTTCAATGACAAATGCATAATGCACAACAAAGAACGGAAACCATGCAGAACTCAAAATAAACCTGAGAGTGTTTTCGTGGATTTACAACAATGAACAGATGCTATTACGACCATCTCAAACTACCTTGAGATAAAACTGAATTGCCATGACATTTGAAATAATAAATGCTAGATGCAGCAACACAAGTAACACTTGAATTACTGGCATACAATGTTCAATGGAAAGCTTTTCAAAAAACAGTACCAAGGCAACCATATATTCCCAAGTAGCATACTTATGTTTTGGTCTTATAAATATTTCATTAGACTTTAGGTCTCTTTCCATTGTTTTAGGTTTAAGCAGACCCTTTTGAAAAAATAAGTACTCCACATCTTTAACCTTCATTAAAGCAGAGCCTATTTCATTTAATTTTAAGGAATGACTGCAGGCAGCTCAAACTTATAAAAGAAAATCTTAAAGAGCTTGAGAATATGGAAAATGTCATTACTGTCACCTCATAAACTTTGTATTTTACAACACACAAAAGCCTTATGTGATGACTGCAACCTCCAATGTTATTGATCTAACTCCTTTTCATTTAACATTGTGTGGCAGAGTCTAATAATGTTCTTGAATACTTGAGTCTGTGTTCCTGGAACAGAGCAGCTGGTGCGAAGTGCTGAAATCAGGTTACACCACCAGAGGGCAGTGTATAGAGACGCACCAGAATCGAGGAAGAGCTGCATTTCTACGACGTTATTAGGAGAAGGGCGTCACATGTGTGAAGCCTGTGTTCCGGACAAAGGCTCAGGTAGTCCTTGTCTACTCAGAGGGGAAGCTAGACTAGGAATCATCTGCATAGCAGATGAAGCTGAAGCTAAGCAGGTGTGAGCCTGGTCGGTACCTGGATGGGAGACCTCCTGGGAAAAACTAAGGTTACTGCTGGAAGAGGTGTTAGTGGGGCCAGCAGGGGGCGCTCACCCTGCGGTCCATGTGGGTCCTAATGCCCCAGTATAGCGACAGGGACACTATACTGTAAACAGGCGCCGTCCTTTGGATGAGACGTAAAACCGAGGTCCTGAGTCTCTGTGGTCATTAAAAATCCCAGGGTGTTTCTCGAAAAGCGTAGGGGTGTAACCCCGGGGTCCTGGCCAAATTTCCAATTGGCCCTTACCAATCATGGCCTCCTAATAATCCCCCTCTATGAATTGGCTACATTACTCTGCTCTCCTCCCCACTGATCGCTGATGTGTGGTGAGCGTTCTGGCACACTATGGCTGCCATCGCATCATCCAGGTGGATGCTGCACATTGGTGGTGGTGGAGGGGAGTCCCCATTACCTGTAAAGCGCTTTGAGTGGAGTGTCCAGCAAAGCGCTATATAAGTGTAAGCAATTATTATAATTATTATTATAGGAAAGAAGTGGTAGTCACCTGTACAGTGAGATTAATGCTATCTCGGTGGATTTCTTCTTGTGGCTGTTACAGGCACAAAGCTGAGCTTTAGCTGAAACTGGGGGAACCACAGCATTAACTCCACCCAGTTACACCAATAATCATTTTGCCAAAGTCTTGAATGTTTTGTCCATGATTTCAGTGAACTTTTGCACTTCTAATCTGCAATAGAGTACTCTCCAAAATTTTCAGATGGTGATGATTAAATTATTAATATACTTTTTGTCATGGAAAAGACAAGTACAACAAGTAAAGTCAGTTCCTAACGCTTGGGTGTAGTAGTGTTCAACCTCGTTGTAAAACTCCCATAGTATTGGGACGATTGATGATTAGAAGTCACTTGTTGGATAGGATTTTCTTGGAGGTGACTAGGCACATAAAAAGCTGTGAACATCTTATTAATCTTTCTTTCTTGGTCTTTAGTGTCAGCAGAAATACAAAGGCTATACAGGGAAAATGCAAACCTCTTATCAGCACCAAGAACCCCACTTCAACTGTGAAGCAAAGTGGAGGTAATATCAAGATCAGAGCATACATGGCCTTCTTGAAATAGCTCACTTGTCTTTACCGATGACCTAATGATGGCAGTATCAGAATGAGTTAAGATATTCATTGACACTTTGTCTGCTTAAATAGAAGGAACTACGTAGAGTATATACCTACAGGGCACTGCTTGACTATACAGAACTACAATGACCCAAAACATAAGGCCAATGCAACCAATAAGTTCATTAGGAGAAAAATGAATAGAAAATCTTAAGACTGGGCAAGTGAATCTCCAGATTTATATCTAATCGAGCGTGTACTGTACAAGCTACAGAATAACACTCCAAAAAAGGTCATTCAAATTGACTACAGCAAAATTATCTGAAATAACACAAAGAGTCCAACGTGTTAAAGGGTTTGCAGACTTCATGCAGCTTTTGCCTTATAGGAAAATGCTTACTACATATATACATTTATCTTTTAAAACTACTAATCATTGAACACAATTTTTAAATAATTGTTTCTCCAAGTATCTCCTACGGCCCTGTGGTGTCTTCATTAATGTTACTGGCTGGAGAAGTGAAAAAATGATTTTATGCAACAACGTTTAAAGAAAGTCGTAACACGAAGTTTTTTTTCCCCCATCTAAAGTCTCAATTAATCCAGATTCTACTGCATAAGGCATTAAAAAAACTAAGTAAAAAAAATTGAGGATTCTAAATATAATGTAGTTCATTGTTTGTCTTATTATAAATAATTCACATTTACCTTCCTGTTTTTCCACCCACTGATGGAAACACTAATCAGGAAATATATATTACCATATCCTCTGGCTGCAATACTTAGAAAGTGTGACTTGAATAATAACTGAGGCATAAGGGGACTAATTGTAAGAACTTTTTGTCTAATACATGTACTGTATATTAATATAGCCTCCTCCCCAGCTAAAGCAAATCACTGTCAGTGTAGAGAACTTAAACTCTCCGTCAGAAAACCACCATGAAAAACTGAACTAAATGTAATTTACTAAATACTGTATACACATTACTCAGTACTTGATAAACTAAACAATTAAACCATGAGTAACATGCAATAAAAAAATGTTTCCATCACACAGATCACCCCCATGGCTCAGAACCTGTAGCATCAGCATTGCTTGGAAAGATGTACTAGTGGTATAAGAATCACACCGCAAATCAAGTTACTCACACAGAATTCTGCAGCCTGAATCCTGACCGGGTCACGTGCAAGTGATCACATTAAACCTGTCTTGCAGTACTTGAATTAGCTTCCCATCAGGTTTCAAGTTGACTTCAAAATCCTCATGCTCACCTATAAGGCTCTATACAGCTTGGTACTTCAGTACCTGTCTGACTTATCTGTGTACTATCCACCTTGCAACCTTCATTTGTCTGACTGGTCCTCTATATGTCCCCCAAGCTCATTTACATTCTATGGGTGACAGGGCCATCTCGTGCTATGCCCCAAAGCTTTTCTTTCTCCATTTTCTTTTGCTCCATTTTCAAATGACCACGTGCCTTCTGCTGCACATTTTTCTGCTTGTTTCTCATGTTTTAAGCAGCTACTGTAAAGCACTTCGAGACGTGTTAATTATTATGATGATGATGAAAATGTGTTGGATACAAAATTAAAACCTTTCTTATTTTATTAGTGCATCACTACCACTATCTCCAGTGCATTGGAATGTTGTAAAGCCCATTCTGAAAACTACAGCTTTAATTAATCAAAAAAATAACATAATGCTTTAATAAACAGTTAAAGCTTCTGGTAGTTGTTGGCATGAACAGTTTTGGTTTAAATCAACAACGACACTGCTGTAATTCCTTGTTAAAAAGGACAAGCAGAAGAATGTGCTAGTGCACCTACAGTATGTACAGTATATCTGAACTGCCATAAACACTGCATGGCCTTAAGTGTCTGATGCAGGAGCACAAACATCTAAAATCCATGCATACCTTAACCTTTACTATTAATAGCTGTTCAGCTCAGATGGATTAACTGTGTGACAGCAACATACAGTACAGTGACAAGAAGGAAAAGCGTATATTTAATTGTATTTGTATAATAATTTTATAATCAAATACCATCTTCATTTATGATTTAAAAAAAGGAAAAATACTTGAAAAAATAGACATGCATCTTTAAATAATGTACTAAGAAATCAAAATTTAAACAAAAAATCATTACCACTCAAAATAAAATTCAATGGTATACAGACAACATCCCTATATACTAAAAATCCAAAGCACTGGAAAACACCTATTTAAAGGTATATGCGAAACACTTAAAACTAAATATTCTTTGAAAGACTACTGAAAACCAGAATACCAAATTATGCAATGACATTCTCAAGTCAAACAGATTCTTTAACCGCTGTATTCATATAAATCCAAAGCTACAAAGGGGGTCCAAAATTTCTAAATCTAAAAGAAAACTGAATGATTTAAATATGTAACATCAAAACAACTGCCGGCATTCACTTCAATCTAGAACATTTTTGAAGGCAAAAGAGTGAGCAATATAAAGCCAACTTGTTTCAAGGTGAAGTTAACTTAGGCAATATATGAAATGATCAGTTAAGAGAACTGATTCAAACAGGCCATAAAGAACAGCGTATGCCAAAGTGAAAACAGGATGGACGATTGACAAGCAAACCAGCTGAGACAGATAATGAAGTGCCACAAAAAACTGATTTACAACAAAGTCAGAGATAGGTATACACATGTGGGGACAGGAAAAGAAATTTGGAACCAAGATCATAGCATTATTTAGATGTAGGTTGATCGACTCCTAGTGTGCTTTCAGATACATGTCAAGATATTCTTCAGCAGTATATCTCAGGAGCTCAGCACGGTTGGATCTGATCAGTGCAGAGATGGGAGACCTCTTAGGAAAGTAAGGTACAGTGCCTACAGAAAGTATTCACCCCCCATTGATTATTTCTCGTTCTGCTGTGTTTCAATTAAGTCAAATTAAAGCACATTTAAATGGGATTTTGTTCCACTCCAGTAGAAGTCATTCTTGATAATGTTAAAATGAAATAAAGTATTTAGATCTTCAGAATCATATTAAAAATAAAAATCTGAAAATTACTTAATTGATAAGTATTCAGCCCCTTTGTTTTAACAACCTAAATTGGGTGAGGTATTCAATTATCTTGAGAGATCACACTAAATACAGTACATTAACAAGGTACACCTGTATTTGTTTGAAATCCACCTGTGTTCAATTTCTTGACTGCACAATAAATATCGCTGACTTTTGGAGATCTTAACTAAAACAGCAGATCAGATCAGTGCTGCTGTCATGAAGACCAAGGAGCCACCTGTGGAACTTCGAGATGAAGTTATTAGGAGGAAAAAAGCTGGAGAAGGTTATAAAAAGATTGGCAAAGCTTTGAACCATCCTAGGAGCACTGTGAAGTCCACTGTAACAAAATGGGAAAAAACATGGCACAACCCAGACACTTCTAAGATCAGGCCATCCTACCAAATTGAGCAACCAGACAAGAAAGGCAATTGTCAGAAAAGTGACCAAGAGGCCAGCTACAACACTGACAGAGTTGCAGAGCTCTTTGGCTGAAATGGGAGAAACTGTCCAGACACCAACAATCTCTTCAGGACTTCACAGATTCGGCATCTTTGGGAGAGTGGCTAGAAGGAAGCCACTTCTGAGAAAGGCCTACATTAAGTCACGCCTGAAGTTTGCTAGAAGCCATGTGACAAAACCTGAAACCTTTTGGAAGAAAATTTTGTGGTCTGATGAGACTAAAGTTGACCTCTTTGGCCTGACAGCAAAAAGCTATGTTTAGCACAAACTAAATACAGCCCAACACCCAGATAACACCATCCCTACCATCAAGCATGGTGGTGGCAGTATCATGCTCCAGGGTTGCTTATAAGCAGGAGGAACTGGAAAGCTTGTTGCCATCAAGGGCAACATGGATGGAGCCAAATACATGCAAATCCTTGAGGTGAACCTGTTTCAGTCAGCCAGTGATCTGTGTTTAGGGCGAAGATTCATTTTCCAGCAGGACAATGACCCAAAGCACACGGCACAGACTATCAAGGAATGGCTTGAAAAAAAGAAGGTAAGTATTCTTGAATGGCCCAGCCACAGCCCAGACTTAAATCCAATTGAAAACCTGTGGTATGACCTGAAAATTGCTGTCCACCAACACTCTCCAACTAATTTGGCAGAGGTGGAGCAAATTTTCATTGAAGAATGGGTAAAAATTCCACAAGCTAAATGTGCAAAGCTCAAAACAGACATACCCAAGAAGACTCACACCTGTAATTGCTGCTAAAGGACTTTTGTAAATGAGAAATGTAAGTCTTTCATTCTAGAGAAACACATGTTCTTGAATAAAAAACATTTTTTATTCATAAGTATTGCATTTATTGTGTTATTGAAGGGAGAAAAATGTATTTCAATATGTTAAAAGCTGGAGGTGTAACAGGAACATAATGCGAAAAAATTCAAGGGGGTGAATACTTTCTGAAGGCACTGTATACCAATCTTTTCTCTAGACGATAATTTCCAAACTAATGCCCCAGTATGAAGATGGGGGACTCTGTGCTGGGGACAATGTCCTTTGGATGAGATGTTAAACCAAGATCCTGATTATTAGGTTATCCCTAAGATCCTTTAGCACTGCTGGTATGAATAGTGGTGTTAATCATGGTACCCAGTTAGATGCCATCTAGGGCTGTATAATGTGGCTATCCTAAATTTTCTTCTAAATCCAATTGTGAAGCGATTCTTCACTTTTCCACTTGATCTGTGCAGTGGGCACTATACATCGGTGGTGGATGCAGTGGGTCTCGTCCTATGTGCAAAGCATGTTGGATAATTTGTGCTATGCAAGTAATTTTATTTTCCTTCATTCTTATTAAACCCACTCTGTAACATTAATTCTTCTGAAATTAACCAGAGTACTTATTGCTGATAAACGGCGATTGTCTTGGAGGTTTTAAAGAAATCAGTCGGAAAGGGAAAAGGGCATTAGGATTAAAATTAAAGTACATCCAAGAACAAGTGATTAACAGATTGAAAAAAAACCTCTGGTGATCCAGGCAGGTGGCAAAGCTCAGTGGAGACAGAGTATCGAATGCTGAATGTAGCATGCAGTACTTGAAAGGGGGTCAGAATATCAAATAAAAATATGACCTTACCAACAGAGAAATTCTCAATTTAACCAAGACAAAAAACCGAGAGCAAATTTCAAATGTTTTAAACAAAAAAATAACAGCAGGTTAAATGCCTGGTTTTAATCAAACACTTTAACCATTACCTATGAGTCCACGGTGGTTCAGCTTCAGCTTTGCTCCTAAGGTTGGATAAAAAGCTGTGGTGAGGCGCTCACGGTTTGTCCTTTTGTCTTACCTTTATTATTTGTGATCCCGTAATCGAACCCTTGAGCGCCAGCAGCACCCCTGCTGAAGGCTTGAACAGAGAAAGGACTGGGCGGAGGTGTTTGTGCTCCATGATCCAGGATCACTTGTTCTATCACAAAAAACAGCTTGCTCAGTTTAATACTGAGTAAAGAGGAAAATAAGATCTGATCATTTCATATCAATAATAGTAATGCTGTTCCTGGTTGGTCAATGCATTCTTCTTTAGATAAAAAAAAAACATACTGGTCATATTACTGATGCAGTAGGTTATATTATAGTGGTTTGCATTCCTTGCAGAAGTAATGTTCACAGACAAATACACCAGATATTTTTAGGATAGAAACAGACTTTAGGACAGACAGACTTTCACTGCTGGTTGATGCGTAAAAGACCTGATTTTATTACCCAGTTCCTTGTTTTATTTCATAGAATATAAAACAGATATTTATACTGTAAACTGTATAAAGAGTAAACTACTGCACATCTATTGGAGAAAGCAAGACATTTGGTAGCTAAGCACTGAACAGAAATTCATGTTTTGCTTTTTTAACTGAAGAATACATAGTCTGTTACTCAGGAACACAAAATCTTTTTGGTTATTTACACATAGAATAAAACTGATATTGTTCAAAGAAAGCAAAAATATCCAAAAGCACTTGGATGTAATGATTCATGCTTCTAGTTCCATTCCAACTACAATCCTTTAGTGCATCTACAAACAAAAGTACTGAACTAAAAGTGTTATTTAACACACACGTCTTACCCTCTTCATGACGGAGGTACTGATTGCCTCCACGATCCCTTGCAAGAGACCAGGCCTCTCCTTCATCACTCTCACAAAACTCCACTACACTGTTCTTATCCAACTGTACCCAAGTGCCCTCCGAGTTAGTCACCTAGTACACAAACAATGCTTTTTTTATGTTGAGCCACAAATGACCTGTATTCTCTGGTTATAAACACATTAATATAAAAAGTACTTAGGAAACATCAACTGCAAAGCCAAATACTATGAAGTACTTAAGAACAGTTAAAAAATGTTTACAGCTGAAGTGCACATATATGTCTTTAAACTGGTTCAGTTTGGAAAAAATGTCTCTATGCAATCTTGCCCTGATTAAAAATAAGGGCATTTTAATATAGTTTTTTTTCCCCCAATACAAAACATTACAGCACCATTCATTTTAAGCAGCTCGGGGTAAGAAAGAATGATTAAACAATACATGTAGATATCTGTAACTACAAAGGAATACTTTAGTATTGCAACAGGCACATTACAAACCACTGACATTTGTCAAACATTTGCATATAAGAAACTGGAAAAAAGAACTGTTAAGGATTAGTTTGAAAAGAACCATTCAGTGAGTTTTAGAGAAGTCATTCGAAGGAACAGCATGACACACCACATCCTCAAATGAAAGTTTTAGCTGTAAGCAGCACATTTTAATACCTTAGAGCCAAAAGCATAGTCAGCATTAAAATGTGCTAAACAAAATAAACATAGCAATTCTTCAAAAGACTTTTAAAAATCTTAATCGTGGCTCCAACATTTCAATTTAATATCAATGTATCCTACGTTCTATTAATGAAAAATTTAATTGGAACATGGCAGACTTTTAGATTACCTACTGTAAGCCTGAAAAACGGCTTCACTACAAACTGATCAGAAGGCACACGTTTAAAGGCATTTATTCCCAGTGAATTTTTAATTGCTTTTGCTTTGCACAAACATGATCATGCATAACCAAAACCTATTTTTAATTCACTAATTCAGACTAACAGTTTATTTAAGACTTTGCCAAACATTTCTAAAGGAGACTTTTTACAGAGATCAAACCATGACACATGATTGCACCATTTGGAAACAATATGTTGCCTGTTTTTGATGAAGGACAAAAAAAAACTGAAATGTTGCAGCCATTTTGTTATGGACAGAAATCCATACCCAGGAAAATGAAAGAACGTACATTAATTTCCAGCAGAGAACAGTGCATTAATCTCTTGTAAAACGAATTAAAGAAAATGTTACAGAGTTTTCAGCATTAGCAACAGAGCAAAATTTGGCCAATTATGAAGTGATGATTTGTAGCCACAAGAACACACTTGGATCCATACCTCGCCTACCGCCTTGACCTTGTTTCCCAGAACTAACATTCCAATAGGGATACCCCTAAGGTTAGGGCAGCTTCTGATGTTGTGACCCGAGGGTCCAGTCTTCACTACCTTATAAACACCTGGTCCACCTCGCAGGCACAACCTGTCCTGCTCTCTCATTGGTACTTCATGGGAGCGACGGGCACTGACCTCCTTTATATACTCATCAGAGTGCGATCTGGCCTCCTACAAGAGCCAAGAGACAATAGTTAAGTCTTCATTTCAGCATGTAAGTTTAGTGTATAGGAGTAAATGACATAGACATGCATTACAAGCAATTCATCTTAATTTGCTTATCTAGAAACAACGACACAGAACATGCAAAAAAACCCTGCATTATTGTTTCTAAATACCGTAAAGAAACAAAAATAATTTCTCAACGGACTTCATAGGGCTCCTCGATCAAAAAAAAACTGCATTAATTAATTTCCTTTTGACTTTCCATGGTGCACCATGCGCTACATTTACTTTATAAAAAGGGATGCGTTTAAAAATACAGTACTACTTAAACACTGTATTCAAAAAGTGAAAGTATAAGACATTAGTGCTTATATTACAATTTATAACGATACAATTCAAATTAGATGAAAGAATATAGTGTCCATAAAATAATTTATAAAATAATAATGAATGCTAGAAGAGTAGTACATGCAATTGAAATGTGAGAAAAAAAAACTGTTACATGGCCACATCGCCATTTCCACAAGTTTATTTTTTATAGAACAAACAAGGCATGCTTACAGTAATTCGAATTACTGACCATGCAACAGATACAAATCCCATACACTAAAAATATACTATTAACTGATGAAAAGCTTTTACTGGCTTACAAATCTGTCTGACCAACCCACTTTTCCCAAAAAAGATATGAAAACTAAAGGACACCCACTTCAATGATTTCTGATGTTATTAAAGGAACGCTGGGGTGAGGAAAATGAAATTCTACATTAAAAAAATCTAGTTTAATTCATTTAGTGGCTGATTCCAGTGAAAAGTAAACACAAATATCATGCAAATGATGCATTATCAAGATCATGGCTCTCCAGAGTAATCAAAGACCATAAATTCACATGGCTTTATAAACACACAAAGCACACTTATGGTGAAAGCAAAAGAAGTGCTGCAAAGCTGTGAATGTCCCTTGTGTTTAACTCACCTGTGGACACAAAGATAAGGAAGTCCAGGATAAAAAGTCGATACCCCTGACTCCATGGCTAGCATTAAAGACATTCTAAGTAACAAAGTTTAAAAATGTCAAGCACCATCAGAGCATTAATGGAACAAGAAGTGTAATTTTTTGGAAGAAGTTTTTTTTTTTCTTAAAGTTATTGTGATTGGAACTTGGACTTGAAATCTATCATAAGATCGACTGCCATGACGTTTTTTTTAATTAATCCCTCCATAGCAAAATGAAATTCTGCTAAGGGAAAGGGATCTAAGCCGGAATAGATACAACTTTTACAAAGGTTTGTTTTGCCGTTAGAAAGCATGGACTCATGATGATTTCAAACATAAAGCTCCCATCGCAGCTCACCGCCAAAAAATGTTTTTATTCTGGGGGTTAATTTTACTCATTGCCAGAAAGGAACACTTCTGTTACATCATTGATCCACGATATGAAAATAACAGAATATGCAAAAGAAGACATACTCGTTTGATAGAAAAATCTTCCAAAAAAGATGTAGTGTGTCATGCTGTTTACATTAGTACCCTGTATGAAAGCCATATAGTCCTACTGCAGCCCACTGCACCCTAGGGAATGCTGACCAATATAAAAGCACAATTCCCCAATAAAGCAGTGTTAGAACAATTATTTGTTTCACGGCAGAGTACCCTCCCAATAAACGCAAACATTGGGAGTTACTGATTACAAACAGATTTGATTTAAAGATTCAGCCCTGACCTAATTCAAAGATGTGTAGCCCTTCCTGTTAAAAGCGCAAGATATACCGTGTGCCGTGAAACAAACAAGGTGACTCAAAAGAAGCCCCTATACATATGCTTGGTGCCTTAACTTGTGAAGCAATTGTGAAAAGCAATGAAAACCAAGAGAATTGCAATTAAGCAAGTGTCATTACACCACACTGAAATTCCTAAACCAGTACCTCTCTTTTGTCATTTGTTGATTTGGGCGGCTCATTTTAACCGATTGTTTTTTTAAACAGCCAGTTGTTCATTAGCAGTTTTTGGAAGTACCCATACAGATTGTAATTTTGCTGGGACGTATTCTTCTCTTTTCAAAAACACACTGAGGCATGCGTTTGCTCTTGCACTGCACCCCAGCCCTCATGCTGTCATTTGCTTTCTTCTTAAAAAAAGTTCTAATTAGTACACTTTTTGCAATCTTTCAGAAACTATCCAAATGGATGCTTCTCTTTCAAGGTTCTTGAAAAGAGTTGGGCAAACGTTTTTTAGACAGAACGATATCCGACACATATAATCAAAGTACAGTTAAGTTACACTGCACTTTATTTCATGCACAAGACCTTTCAAAGAAAAATAAATGAATAATATATACTGATACACAGAAGTTGCATTTATAATGGGATTTCATATTTTTCATTTGCCTCAAGTGCTAATCTCACACTGAATTTGAAGTCAATTTAAGCCTAACCAAAAGAAGAGAAGAGATTTGATGTGTGCAGAGGTCTGTTTTTCTTGATCAAATGACCAGCACAGGGGCCCTTGCTATTCTGCTGTGGGTGGCCTTTACTTACGTCAACAGGGACCAGAAGGCTCCTGCCCAGATGCTGGTTAAAAGAGAGGCACCAGGCTTCAGTGTACCCATTCATGTTGGGAACATACTTCTTTACTGTCTCATCATTCAGTCTCAGCCACACACCATCATCATTGTGGATCTATGGGAAACAAGCAACAGAAACGAGCCATGCCCTCCTGTAACTGCTAAAACGCCTAGCAAGGACTCGGAGGCTGCAGGCTGCCAGAAAATGGAGGATGCAGAGTAGACATATCAGGGTAAGGACTTGCAGAAATTTGAAAACTAAGAGCAACAGAACACAGCAAAGATGAGGAAACAAGTTTTCCAAGAGATTCTGCAGAAATAGTGCAAATTATAATAAAGGCAAGGTCTGATCTAAATCACCAACAGTGTTTATTGGTGCCTTTCTGTGTACTGTTGAACAGATTTTCTTTCTATCTGCACAGGCATTTATTGCTGGATAATGTGCATCATTGTCAAAATGTCCTCTGCATGTCATTTAGTCAGAAAGGTGGATATTTCACCTGATTTGACAATATGCCATGATGATTAAGAACAGAATCTTATGTGGTAAATCTTGTCTCGAGTAAAGTGATGCAGAAAACAATCATGCAGTGGATTTCTAACACTGGATCGCCAAGGTGACAAAGTGGACGTTTGCATCACCCTCTCTATTGGGATTTGGATTTTCGTTTTCATGGGGCATTTTTACACAGCAGCCTCAAAGTTCCTTGCGTGTGTATGAAGCAAAATTAAACCAAAGTAAAAAAAAGCATTTATCACATAAATTAGGAAAAAAAATAGAGTGGCACAAACTATTCAAAAGCTTGATGATTTTTGCTAGCTAAGTATTAAAAAGTAAATCAGATTAATATCCAAATGTAGTGGTTCAGTGAAAAAATGGAAAGACAAAAATGTCCTCACTATCCCTCATCTACCGTTGTTTCCTTGTGAATTACCTCATCAATGAAAGTGATGGTCCCATTGACCTGGACTACGCCTATTTGTTCGCTCTGAAGAGAGGGGTGGCTACGGACACGAAGGCCTGCGCTGTCCTTGGCCACAAATTTGCGAACCTGAGAGAAGCAAAGGGAAACCATGAGACGGAAGAAAAGAGAGCTGGGAAAAAGCTCCAGAAAGGAAGAAAGCCACAGATCAAAACAGATGTAAAATGCATGGTTTGAAGAAAGCAGACGTATTTCCCTTTTGATCATGCCAATCTCTTATAGGTTAATATATAACAGATAGGTTAATAGTGACTGAAGTACAGTTGGCAGTTCAACTATAAACCCATATAGACTGCTTCATAAGCTGCCCATATAATTATTTGACTGACGGGCATAAATTAAGAAGGGAAAGTGCTTAAAGGAGTTACAGGATAGTTGCTTGTTTCCCATTTTACCTGATTAAATGTCAGACTCCACACGATGACAAAATCAGCACAACTTTTTTGCCATATGGAGGTGAACAGATGAACCAGCCACAAGGAACTAATACATTTTTGACTCACAGCATCCAACACACAAACATTAGATTAACCAATGAGGGAAAAAAGGTAATAAAATAATGTTAATAATACAGCTTTAAAAGCTCATGTGGCCACTGTCTGGAATATTTTTCTAGTAAGGAGATTTTAAGCAAACTGTTGGTTTGGCAGCAGGGACTGAAATGCGGCGTTTTAATTAAGCTACCACCCATTGTGAATCCTCCAAAAATTAAATTTCTTCTGCACTGAGGCTGAAAAATGCTGCAATTCAAAAGCTGAATCAAACAGAAAATAAAACGAGAAAAAGCCTTTCTATTTTGGAGGCCAACGTAACAGTTTCTTTAGTGCTCAGAAACTATTTTGTCTGTCCTTGGCAGTATGTTAGTGACAGATCACACTTCTACGAAAAACTCACCTTGCTTGGCTGAGGCTCAGCTTTCGGTTTGACCATCTGTGAGCCTGGAGGAATCATACCCTTTGGAGGATCTTTAACCTCCACTTCCAGTCCAGCATCTGAAGAGCAGGAAGACAGGTTGCACTCAGAAAACTGCTACACCTACCACAGAAGGCACGTATTTATTTTGTTCTCTGTGTGATCACTGTTACCTATTTCAATGCCATCAATTGTGACGTGGATTGTGTAAAGTCCCACCGCACCAGGAGTCCAGTTCGCACTGTAGGTACCATCAGTATTAGCTCTGATCAACATATTCTCACTGGGTCTGAAACACAGGGAAAAACGGGATCAGAATGCAATGCTATACACCAGGAATGTCAAACCAAGGCCTGTAGGCTAAATACAGCCCCCTCCAATGATTTTCATCTGACCATAAAGAAGATGATTTATTATAATAATCATCTGGCCCCTCAGCAAGAGAAAATTTTATAATGAATAAAAGGAAGGTTACAAACAAATAGGAATCTAGGGTATCCAGCTTCAATACCATGGCTGGTAGTGTGCATAGTGTGTCTCCTGTTCTATGTTGAAAATGCATTTCTGTGTTTTGTATTGGGTGTATAAGATGCAAATACCATCTGTCATTTCAAGCATGAAGGAAGTGTTAAGTATTTCTGTTCTTTCGGCACTCATAACAAAGATGACGTTTACAGAAAACAGATATAGCCAACAAAAAGAAAAAACCTTCTGGAAGGGAGATTATTTCAGAAAATGTGGGAGTAGAAAGTTTTTCGTTGAGCAGAGGCCTGCGAGCCTCCTTTGATAAGATAGTTTAAGAGTGAAATACAATTTGGTGTGGTACAATCAGACTAAACAAAGAAAAATTTAGGTTTTGGTTTGAAAAGTGAAGGATGCAAAAGGGGGGATTAAGCCTTGGGTTACAGGTGCATGTTTAAAAGGACAAAAAGGCAAGAGTGACTCTGCAATAAAAGCATAATTAAAATAAAGGTATATTGTGCTGGACAATATTGCAAATTGCAATATTCTTGGCCTTTCAAAATTCATCTTCAGAGAAAGAACTTTCTACTTAAAGTTTCTTTGTCCAGAGAAAAAGTAAATGGTAGTAAGAGAAATATAGTTGTCAAGATGACATGGCTGTCTTTCTGAAAGAACGGCTAACTGAAAAAGCAAGTGGTTCCACTGAATTCTTGCTTGTTGTTGAAGACAGCATCAGTATAATATACAGAATGCAGTTATCTGTGTTCACCAGGGAGGAAATTCAGATTTCACTGCTGAAGATTTGACAGTTCAAGCTTACATGGCATCACCACACCAAATAACATTTCAGCAACAGAAAAAGATGTGTAAATTGAATTATACTGCAGTGGGAGAAAGCTTGCGATGCTGCTTAGCAATTACACTAGACTGTATAGCTATATCTAACATAAGCCTGACCACTGACAGAGCACCAATATTAAGCAACAAATAAACAGGTCTGTTTGCTCTAAAAAAACTACTTTTTAAAAAATGCCTACTGGGATATTGAAAGCATTCCACACCAGAAAGTGCATTCGGAGTAACAACAGCAAGACTACATTAAATATGTAAAGGACATAGTAACAGATGTTGATTTAATACATTTGAATCAGGAATTTCACCGACATTCTAAGTAGGTCAGAAGAAAAAATCTATGTGGCCTGAGGATAAAATCTTTACATTTTCATATGGTCTGTGGTGAAATTCAGTCTGACACACCTGTTGAGCAGACACACTAAAGACTAAAAAAAAACGTATCAAACCTCTTTGGAGTTGGAGATGCAAATCGGAGCTCCTCAAATGAATAGTTTTCGTAGGCCTAAAAGACAATTTTAAAAATATGAAAACATCCTTTTTTTAAATTTTCTTTCATGACAACCAAATCAAACCCAAACCACATGAGCCAAAAACACACGCAGATACCAGCAGACTCAATTAATTAATAAGGAAAAACATACTTCAGGTGAAATTAAGTCAGTAAATTGCAGTACTTGCAACAAACATTGCTTAAGAATTACATTTACATTTACACCAGTTTGGTGTATCGAACATAATTCTCTACCTAGCCTATCAGCTCTCTTCATATGGAATTAAAGTTGCTTAACATTTTTATCTTACTGATAGAAATAAATCATTCAATAATGTACAAAACACAAAAATAAAATGATATTGAGATGTTAACACCTTTGTTTCAATAAGCTTGAACCACTGTAGAAGTGCACTCTTTAAATCACTGCTTTTCTCCTTATTAAAGTCGCTACTTTAATATTGTCAGTTCAACACAAAGATCGGATGTTTAAGGTTTTTAAAATCCTACATTGTAAATGGCCATAAGGCGGGAAAAAAAACACAAGGTATTGGTGTAGCCTTTTCCAACAACTCTACCATTTATTCTTTCAATACTGATTAAAGTTTATGCTTAGCAGCATTATTAATCCTTCCACACATTCAGGGACAAAAAAAAGTAAATAACCAAAGAATAACGACAGCTAGGACTGGGGACTGTAAATAAACTTTAGCAGATTGCAAACTGGACCCAAGCACAATAAGCAGATCTGCCTAAAATAATGTAATTGAAATCACTATAAATGTTGCAGTTACCAGAGAATACTGGACTAGAGAGGCTCAACCTGTACTAAAATCTTTTTACCATGAGGACTGGTCTGCACTAAGTATACAAAACCATTCTCCAACACAGATTTGTCCAACAAATTGGATTATGCATAAAAAAAATCAACAGGGACAAATGTGTCAAAAGCAAAAACACATACAGTGCACCAAAATCCAGTACTCTCTCCAACATAGTCTCATACCACCACTCACTATCCTCTCAGTCAAGTATTCTCCTTATTGTTAGAATGAGAAATCTAGTTAAGACAAGTCAATTGTGCCTTTTGACACTTTTTAGACTTTTGTTTTGGTAAATAGCTTTGCAAACCAATATAAAAATTCAAATGTAAGGAGCGTGAAAGTGGCAGTGAAAAAAATAAAAAAAAAACTCACAAGGTTATAACAGCAGAAATATGGAAGATCTCAAAGCCTCAAACAATTAAATCCTGAACATCCAAGTGTATGCTTTTGTCATACAACATTTACCTCCTATTTTATTTTCAACAGATCAGTATAGACTGGGATATTCATTTTTGTGTAATATACAAATAAATGTCTGACTTTACAAGGCCACGTTCACGTATCCCTGTTTATTAGATGAGGTGTCAAGATTCTCTCGTGTGGATTTGCTAAACATGCTTTGGAAGGACAGAACACCCATGTTGGACAAGGATCTACAGTTAGGTCTTTATTAAATATTATGTCTCATCTTGAATTGAAGATTGCATTGAAACCAGATGTGCGAAGACATGTTATTCATGCTTTGAAAATAACTTCACTCAACTGACCTTCATCATAGTGATAGCAATGTATCGCGCCTCCTTAACAATCATGGGCTCATAGCTGGCCTCCAGTTTGGGGTGAGGCAGTCCACCAAAGGTGAGGTCTGTCCCTGGTGGTGCTGAGGCAGAGCTTCCTGGGAGACGTTGAAGTTTCTTGATGCTCTCCTGCTGCAAAGACTTCTTCTGTGACACAGGCACTGCCTTCACCTCCACCTACGGAGACGCCGGCACAAAAGGGTTGTATTGAGCTTTCTTTCCCCATCAGGACAGGTGACGCACATGACACACAGCTACAAGCCAAGGGGCATTTAGCCATCCATATAGATAATTCTTACATTATCCCATTAAAATAACAAGACTTTAGAAATGTAGATTTTTCCTATTGTAAATTTCTTCTTGCACACGTCATGAGAGTGTTTTCAAGTTCACTCTACTTCAATTATTTCTTACTTTTCATCAACCAAAGGGCCAGAAATAAGATGAGATCATTCAGCCCAACTTGTGCATTTTATAGCAAAGAAATTAAGGCACAACGGCAGTACTGGGAAGAGCAGTTGCGAGAGGAAATCGGAGAACCTAGCAAGGACCCATGCAAAAATAGGAAGAACCAGAAAATCTTCCACAGAATTGTCCCTAGGTGAAACTGAACCCGGGACCCTGGACCTGAGCAGCAGTAGTGCTCATCACCATACCACTATGCTGCCTATCATACCACTTGGGCATAAGCAAATAGATTTTCCTACAGGTTTATTGTATTTATAAGTCATTCCAGATGCATTAGCCGCTTTAAATAAGATAAAATGCTGACCTTCATATTTGGAACATGCACCACATCTCCATACTGGTCTTTGGTCTGCACTACGACAGTGGTTGGCCACCCACACCTAATGTCATCCTTGTTGAGAATCAGTGATGTTTTCTGTGGGTCTGCATAGGAGTCTGGTTGTAGCCACCTAGTCAAAATGAGAATATGACAAAACTACAAACACTATCTATTACATTTTAAGGGTCACATGTGTTACAGATTTAAAAGTCTGTGTATAGTTTAGTGCTTGCAGAGAAAGATTGTGCAACTGAGAAAGATTGTATCCATGGAACACAACGGCCAAGGACAAAACGGAGCAGACTTGAGTACCATGCTGGACTTGACGACAGATTAAGAGGACTGTTAACTACAATACATCACAAAAATGGAAGTGGAGTGGGAAAGTTCTGCAAAGAATTCAAAATACTCAATGGTAGGAAAAATATTATCGGTGAATTATTATTTTATTTTTGAATGATTTATATAATATAATTATTATTTTATTTTTTAGTTTATCAGCTTAACCTCACCTGGCCAGACGTCCACCACTGGAGTTCTGAACACATGTAATGAAGTCTTCCAGAAAGGAGTGCTCGTTGCTCTGCAGGTGTAGTGGAAGATTGCCTTCTAAAGCCTCCAGGATGGTGGGGGAACGCGAGAGAGCCAGGCCTTTCCCGAGAATCCCTGCATGTGCTTTACACACCTGCAATAAGATCCACAATTATTCACTCTTAACCACAGCATTGACCAAGTTTTCTGCAGGTTTTATATGAATGTCAAACCCACTACACCTGGTTATATCAATAATAGGGGTCTTCTACCCTTCAATAATGAAGCTTAGGTTTGTGTGATTTACAAATTCCAAACATTTCGTGAATCCATTTCCACACTCTCTGAAATTTCAAGTCAACAGGTCATTTAAGACACTTCACTTGGGGACTGCAAGCACTGATATGCTGCCAGATTATTAAGAATTCATTTCAGCAAGCTGGTGTGTGACAATATAATTCTACCAACTCTAAGATGGTGAAATTATTAATAAACCAATGTTAAAATCATAATTTACATTAAAACAGTTATATCAGTTACAATAATTGAGAATGTTATGAATTAGCCCACTGATGGTAACCACCAAAAGAATAAATTATTTTACTCTAACATGTATTTAAATGTGTTGATTTTAGCCATTATTATGCTAAACCACTGTAACTTGTTTCTAATAGACACAATCTGCTCCCACTAAACCAGTGTACATCACTCATCAATATAATTAACTCAGTGATATCAAAATGCACTAAGTATGAATAATTTAACTTTAATAACTCCGTACCTGCAAAGATGCCTCTTCAAGAATTTCAAGGTCTTCCTCAAGTTCATTGCCTATCAAATTATCAACACAAAAAGGCACTGATTAAACCTGAAGAGTTTTGTTTCGTAAACTAAACAGTACACATTAAAAAACATTGATATGAAAGAGAAACATACGGGAAATTTATAAAAGTATAAAAACAAAATGACCCTAGGTCATAAACAATTGATCAAATTAAACCATTTTAATTGACTCTGAGTTTTTTTACTCCTCGAAAGGGAGTGGGAGTAATTTTCTTCAAACTCAGCCTCAGAGTTAGGTCACTTACCAATGGGTAAGGCCAGATCCTTCTTCATCAGGGCAGCAGCACACACACTCCCTAAATAAGCAAGCTCTTTCTCCAGCTGTATGGTGCCCTGGAACACAAAAATCAGTGAATTAATACTCAATGAGTAGCTACAAATTAGGATTATTTTGAGCAACTTTTAAGTAGCACATTTTAAATACTAAAAATTATGATGAATTTCCCTAACTAAACAGTTATGTGATTCTTGTTATAGTTCTAACACTCTCCCACTTACACAAATTAAAAATGTTGTTCTTCTTTCAAAATCAATAAGTCAACATTGATCAACATACCTTAAATCATAGCTTTAAGTTTTTTTGCAAGGTATGTTGATCACTGATGACTTATTGATTAACAATCAAAATGTGCAAAGGTATAGAATCAGTTAAAGGAAGGATGCTATGATGTAATGTATTGGTCTATACAAACCAGCAATGATACATCATTAAAGACACTAGTATTTCAAGATAACCTGAATACAAGGGGCCTGGAGCTTCACACCTTGTAATTCTCCTCTGATCATTTAAAATTGAAATACTATGCTATCACTAGAACAATGACCCATACCTCATCCGGGCCTGGGTTGAACTCATAGCCCACAGCAACACACTTGAATCCGTAGAAACATGCTTTCTCATCTTTCACATAATCTGATGCAGTCTCCAAGGAAAAAAGGGCTTCATTTCCTAAAATAACCCCCAAGCACAAGCACAGTCAGAATATCCTAACAGTAGTGGGGCTGCAGATCATGCCAACGCAACGTTGATTACTTCATAACATCACTACAGTGCTAAATAAAAACAGGGTTTCCTCATCGCATTAATAACAACCTCAATAGAGTTACAATGATGTAACATGCACAAATAAAAGAGACACAGATCGCCGCAAGAAAAAATAATATGGGCAATACTGCCCCCCTGCTCAGTAATACTGATACATACCAAGATGAAATGTCATTAAGTGAAAACCAAATCACGCTGAAATATTTGCTTTCTGAGTTTCCTCCAAATTGACCTAAACACCTTCGATTTTAACAAGCATTTTTGATTAAAAAAACATACACGGGTGTGTTTCAAGTAAAAATAGACAAACAAATAATAGGAATCTCGTTATTTTCACAAGGCAAGAATGCAGAAGAAATAAAAACAAATATACCAACATTGATTTCAGAAATAAATGGAATGCACCTTCATTGTAGAATCTTTCCCCTTGTTTCTGCACTAACTACTAATTATTTCAGTTAGGAATGATTCTTTTTACCTGGGAGCACTAGCACCATAGTAGGCCACCCATTTGAACCAGAGAACTTCTTCAGTTCTGTCCAGGTGTTTATGCTTTCATGTGCCATTTGTCTGTTGGTAAAGCCCGAGAACTGCAATGACTTGCTAGGAATCAACAAGCGCAGGACGTCCTCAGGTTGAGCAGTACCACACTGGGGGTCAAATTCAATGGTCATCCACCGTACACAGTCTGGAAACGACACCTGGGGAGGTCAGAAAGAGATGTTTTAGCACGAAGAGCTACATCAAATGAACATTCATCAAGTTCAGAACCACTTCTATTCATCTTGCAGCTCTCGATGCATGGGCTTTCCAGACCATTGGCTTTGATCTAAGGCAGTAGACCGAGCCGCACTGTTGGCGTCTTCATGTGTAGACTGCTTACCTTGTACTGTGTGACTGCAGCTTGTTTGTAGGGGTGATCACTCTCAAGGACAGCGTAGTGACTGGAGGTGGTACAGGCCGAGAGGCCCTGCTCAGGCTGGTTGCCAGTGGTGCTGTCAGTGGACTGGTTGGGGTTGAAAGCGGGTGGGGCATATTTCTGGTTCAAAGCAGACACAGCAGGAAGCAGCTCTTGGACCAGACCAAAGACCTCTACAGCAGCCTGCATAGTGGAATATAGGACACCATTTCATTTCAAAGGTACAATTCGACAATCTGATTGATGACTACACTTGAAATTAAATAAAGCATAAAAAGCATATGAAACAGACTTATTATGCAACCAACCTGTCAACCTTCAAAAGGTTTTTTGACTACTGACACAGACATAACAGTAAGAGGCCTGGGGCTGTTTCATACCTCCCAGGAGTATTTGCAGCTAAATATAATTAATAGGTAAATGCTACACTATGAAGGCTTTATACTACAATATACATTACACAAAAATATAATCATTCCCTACATTCATCTTACATTTACCTTATTATTTCTTATTTCAAGTCTACCAACCAAAATGTAAAAATCAGAGAAATATCTGTCTGTACTTTGTTTAGTGTCAAAACACAAAATATAATTAAGCATCTCATCTCGCAAGTCAAATACTGCTAAAACTATCATGAATATATTGCAATATTTCAGATTCATCCTGAAAACAAATACCATAAACTGTACAGACTTCAGTATTCACAGTAGGCCGTTTATCAGTGATTGCTAATTTATTACTTCTAGAACTAAAGATGAAAGTACAGTGTGTAGGTCAACAGATAATAGTTTGCAAAGATGACAAATCTGTTGAGTGCAGGAATCTTTATTTTTAACTAATTCACATTGAACTTTGATTCTATTACTGAAAATATGGTAAAATTTATCTTTAACACCACTAAAAGACCTCAAGCCACTTTGAGCTTAAAGATAAATATCAGAACACACAAAAGCAAAACCAACCAGCTGGATGACAAAACACATTGCTACCGTTGTATGTGCTCCTCTCTGAAAATGCACTTGACCCCAATGTTTGCTGCTGTTCATGCCCTTTTTCCATTATATTTTGGACCTCAGGAATACCATAACTCAACTAATACTCATCTCACCTTAGGAACGGAAGCAGCCACTGGTCCAATATAAGCCAATATAAGGGGCAGCAGCATTGAAAACAAACTGGAAGAACTTAACAATTCTGGAATGTCTTCAGCTGAAACGACAAAACAAAGTTCTAAAAAACCATTGCAGAAATCACAACATATATTTAAAACCTAGCTCCAGAATATTTGTTACGGGACTCTACAGCTGGTCATCATTGGGACTTTCATTTTACTTCAGTCCTGGACTTTGTTCCAACAGTACTTTACTCACTTAAGTGGACCTTAGTGATTGAACTGACTCCACTATCCAATGTCTCTTAAATATCTCATATTGTAAAAGAAAACCGACTTGCAAGGATAAAGAATTGCCGACCCTTGCCCTGTTTTCTTTTAACACTACTGCTCTTTTCCAAATGGCTTACAACTCTTTTTAAATTCCTTGCTTCACTGACACCATACAGCTTTCATTCAGGAACCCTACGTAAAGATAATTGTGGGAGGGAAGTCGCCTCAAGAATGGTCTCTTACCATCGACGGCAAAGGCCCTGTGCAAAAGATCCTTGGCTGCTCTCACAACAGCACTTACGACAGACAGCGCCCTGCTGCAGTTCTTATCCTCCTCGTTGGCCTTACTCAGCAGCTGGGACTGCAAGTCTCCGTCATACTCACTCCTGCACCAAAACGCAAAATGAATTGAATTCAAGGACATATAATCTCTTAAATATTAAGTGTGATCCAAAATTCATCATATTAGTCTCTGGGTCTTATTCTGCATTTTCACCTGCTCCGTTATTTTAAAACTCGGCACAGGAAAGATTGGGGGAAATATCTAACCCTTTACACCCATTTTGACAAAGCTTCCCCACCTTTAAAAGTCATCTGGTGCAGTCTATCTTGTCACGTAAACTGTTTAAGAAACAACCGCAGGTACAACAAGAACAGGCCCACAGAAGGAGAGACAGTGAATCCTTCTTTCTCCAGTGTTGACACAGAATGTCAATACGGTTCTCATGTGATGGATGCAGCTGCCTCTGGCTCACCTGTAGTAGAGAATCTGTGGAATCTGCCCACGGGTCTGATTGGTTCCATTGCTGCTGAGACTGCAGGTGCTGAAAGTGAACGTCACCCCATCGGTGCACTGCACTGTTGTCATGCCTCCATCCCCATTGGCTGTACGGCTGCCGTAGTTGCGTAACCTCACTGCATATTTCACACTCTCCTGTGGAAGACAGCGAGGTCTTAGAATATGGGAAGAGCACTGGAAAATATGAAACCTTACTTAGCTTCTTAATTCTTCCTACGTTTTACTTTAGTCTTCCATTTTGAATTCTTATTTGTTTTTGCCTTACACATCTTACAATTTCTTTTTACTATTTCTGAGATGAGAAAAAGGGATTATAATGTTTAGAAAATGTTTGTTGTATTAAAATTTTAAAGCACTGGGTAAGTAATTTCAGTTTATATGCATTTAAAACAAAACCAGGTTATCCTCAAAGAGCAGAAATTCAGTTTTTGTATATTAAGATAAGGTTCTAAATTAATATTTTTTTTACTCTTTGAAAAAGCAGCATATATTTTCTTACTTTCAGAAGGATTCTGAAGAGATAACTCTGGCAGATAACCTTGCATAAACTGTGCCAAAGACCTTTGCAGTGAGGCCGGTATAGCCAAAAACTAGATCATGAAAACAAAGGGCTGAGGATACCTTCAAAGGCACAGCTTTGTCCAGCCTGATTTCAGCAATATCACTGGGGGAGTCGTCAGTGCTGTATGTCCCTTTCACCAGCTCCAAAGATGTCCATCTGTGAGAATGAGCCGAATCCCCTGGGTGCTCAGTTTGGGTCTGCAAAAAGAAGCAAAGGAAAAACCCGAGGACTGTTTTGGCACAGATGTTCATTTCATGTGCTAAATAACTGCTAGGCTATCTGCACTGTAAGGTTTACTAAACTATCTTCATTATTACAGCAGGCATGCATAACAAAAGCCGTGTAAGTATATTTTGCTATATATTTTATGCAGTTCCCGTCTTTAATACAGAAAGTGATTGAAGACTCCTCATGTACTTCCCCATTCCTTTTAATTGGGGTCACAAAGCAACTACATCGGGCTTTTCTTAAAAAAAATATTTCATTAACATCCAAATGAATGGGCACCTTTTCATTTGTTTTAATATACATGTATAACTAGATTTATTTGAAATACGGAATGAAACATTTGAATATGATCTATGGCCTTCCTTACTTTTTTCATTAAAAATCAATATCAGGTATATTCCTTATTTAAAGATACACAAAACTAGAAAAACAAAGGGACAAGAGATAAGTTTTAAGTGATTAAATCAAGGAATTATTAGAACACAGTTTAAACTTACGTCATCAGCAAGAACCTCAAGTTCATATTCATGGATCCCTCCTCCGCCATAGACACAGAAGCCCACAAGCACCACGCCATGCTTGTCGACCGAGAAGCAGATTGCATCCGGAGAGCCATTCCCAGTGTTCCAGCTCCGTCCTTGGCTTGTCTTGGTGAAGCGGTTAGGGGTGGACTTCACAGAATGTAGGGAGTTCAATCCATCAACCTGCACAAAAGTCCAGTTTCAGACGGGGTACAAAACCACAAGTCCTCCTTCAGCTGCACTCGTCAGAAGCATGCCGTTTTCATAGCAAAACGTTTCGCTAACACTGGTTTTCTAACAAGTGCTACTCATCTTCAAAGCTAGATTGTCGCCATAATAACAACAAAATGACTGCTTCACTTTATGAAAAACCCAGCTACTCTGGAAAGATTAATTGAAGTCAAATGCAAGGCCACCTGCAACAGTGCCTCGGTTTCCATATTTTAAATCATAATTGAAAAAAATATGAACATTTTTAAATATATGTAATCAATATTCCATCAAAAAGGGTCTTTGTATTTGTCTGTCAACTTAACAAAAGCAGGTTGATTACACTAAACACAGATGCCATAAATCCTATTTTTATTTCACAGAAATACAAAAACCTCGTTTGATGAACTTGAGATGCTGATATGTACCTCTGAGCCCAGTGCTGACGAGGTCAGCTCGCTCACAATGCTCGCTAGTAGGCCACACGTGTTGGAGACTAGGTGTGGGGAGAAGAGCTCCATCTCCTTCCGTAGGCTCTTCCTCACTGGATGGACAACAATCACCAGCATTTTCTCCAAAACCTCCCGAAAACTGGTCATGCCCATCAGGTTTTCTTCACTCTGCATAATACCAAAGAACAAAATCAGAACAGGATCATGAGACATTTCTCCTTCATATGCATTGGAACACGTGAAAGGTTACAAATAAAAGGTAATAATTTGGACCATTTAGCCCAGTGGTTCTCAAACTGTGGTACGCGTACCAGCAGTGGTA